ATGATAAATCAGAATGGGAACCTTTTAGGAAGGTTTCAGTTTGGGTTTGAACCGACAGTTCAAAATTTATTTATTTTTGTAAATTCTATTTATTATTTTTAAAATGGTCTAAATTCAACAAATTTTTTATTTTATTTTTGTTGCTTCTGAATCGTAACCAGGACTGTCCCTACTATTTCGGTTCGATTGTTACACTGTATGGTTAGGTTCGAATCGAACCGTGATCATCCATTGATATAAATAATAATTTGTTGGGGAATTTAAGGATAAAAATGTCCATCCAACATAAAAAGAAAAAATTACCACTTTTAACCTAACTTAGTGAAAAAATATGAATAAATGAATAACTCATTGGAAAAAAATGTTATAAACATATATCTCGGGGTGGAAATTTACATTCCCCACTTTTTTGTCTTTATTTTTTTTCCCCAACTTCTTCTTAAAAAATTAGAAAAAGAATTTGCGCCTGGAATTCTTTTCCAATTTCCACTAACCGAATTTTCCTCTGAAAAATCAACCAAAAAAAGGAGAAAAGAAAAGAAGAAGTACGGATTAGTTAAGATCGAAAAGGAAGATCATCCCCAAACCCCTTTCTCCTATCTCATAGATCTTCTAAACCTATATCCCAGCTCATCACCGTGTATACATATATCTCTTTATAGATCGACGTACGGAATCGGGTAGGACATGGGTTGCTCCTCTTCGGTTCCAGGTAATTCCAACATCCAAACCCTAAATTCGTTGTCTGGCGTTAAATTTATTGAATTTTAGATGAAAAAATCAAATTTATCAGCTCAATTTATGCTGCAGTATCCTAAATTCCCCTCAAAGGGGGCCACTCACTTAATTCTCTGAGATAATTGAGCCTTCCTTTTATAATCAGTGAATTGTTGTTTATGGTTAAGTGGTTCTCGTTTTTTTGAGGTGCAGATAGGAGTCCGGGACAGAAAGGAGGACTTAATCCTGACAGTGGTGCCACAAATGATCCTAAAAATCTTCGGGTGAAGGTATATTTTGGAGTTTCATAATTTTTTTTTTTGGCATGTTTAACTGTTAGATTATTGATTATGAGAAAGAAGTAAAATAAGAAGAATAAAAAGATTACAGCTTTAATCTTTGCGGATATAGTGTTTACTTGTCAAAAGGTAGATGGTTTCAGAACCATGAAGCTGAGGTATCTTGAGGAGCTTGTGTTGTTTTGCATGCACTATATTGGAGAATTTATTATGTACATCTCAAAAAATTTTGAGAATTTACTAGGCAAATAAAGTAGAAAAAGGTATGGTAATGGTTCACTTGTCAAATAAGCCAGAAAGAATGATTTTGAGAACTAAGAAGCTACGTGGGTGTGGTGAATATTGATTGATAATTGTAAATTAGATGTGATGAAAACTGTTGTCTTATGGAATAGTATTCCTAAGTTATATTAAGTGATAAGTAATGCAACCCTCAGTTTTGTAATTAACGAAATATTAAAAACCATTGCTTACCTTCAAATGGCTATGATGTCGAAAACTAAAAATTAGGGATTGATCTGAGCTTTACTAAAGTTTTTATGTCTTTGTCATAATTATGTTACAAGTTATATTAAACTGTTGTCTCATGGAATAGTATCCCTAAGTTAAATTAAGTGATAAGTAATGCAACTCTCAGTTTTGTGATTACTGAAATATTAAAATCCATTGCTTACCTTCAAATGGCTATGATGGGATAAAACTAAAAATTGGGGATTGATCTGAACTTTACTAAAGTTTTTATGTCTTAGTCATAATTATGTATATACAGACAATCAAAACACAGGCTTACTAATGTTTTTTGCATTGCCACAAGTAATCTTCCCTTATCATGATCTTTGCAGCTCGTACTTTTGGGTGATTCTGGTGTTGGAAAAAGTTGCATTGTTCTGCGTTTTGTCCGTGGTCAATTTGATCCAACATCAAAGGTAAGGCTATCCAGTGATGTATGCCTGTAAGAACCTCCCTTTCTTTCTTTAGCCTCTTTTAATAAATTAGCCCTCTTTTGGTTTGGCCTCTAAATACATATTATGTATCTCTTGTCTTCTAAACACTATGGGATTGAGTAGCAAATGTTTGAACAATAAATGTTTTGATGGTTTTAGGTGACTGTCGGGGCTTCTTTTCTATCTCAGACAATAGCCTTGCAGGATTCTACTACAGTTAAGTTTGAAATTTGGGATACTGCTGGTCAGGAAAGGTAGTGTTTAGACTCTAATCTCTCTTTTAATTTGAATATCTGATAAGGACTACTTATACGTGGTTGCTTTCTTTTTAGGTATGCAGCACTAGCACCACTTTACTACAGGGGTGCTGCTGTTGCAGTTGTTGTTTATGATATTACAAATCCTGATTCATTCACCAAAGCACAATATTGGGTTAAGGTATTACTCTAAGATGATTGTGTCTGCTAAATATTTTCTTTAGTCAAATATAATAATGTGAAAGTTTCTAAGATATATGGTGTAATATTTATGTTCAGGAATCAAAACTTGTTTTTGACCACTTATTAAGTCCTAGAACAAGTACTTGTATTAAGTTTCTTTTCCCCCCTGGTTCTCCTTTGCTTCCGCATCTTCTTCATTTTGAGGCTGTAAAGAGTAAAAAGGCTTTATATTTGTCATTGTATAATTTTGGGCTGCAAACAGGTTGCCGGCAACTAGGCATTTAGACTTTTTAGACTATTTGTAAGTGTTCCATGTTTCTTGATGAAGAAAGCCATCTTCAGGCGATATTATTTTACTGCATAAAACCATTCCGCATAGATTGGTTATATTTTCATGATTTCATGGACACAGTGTACTCTTTCTACCATTTTCCCCTTCAATTTTTCCCTAACTGTGCGGTAATCTACAATGATATCTGCATCACACCTCTTGGCACAGGCAGACTTGAATACGAAGGAAAGATTTACTAATTTTCTTCTAATTACTTTACCATATTATCTTCTTAAGCACTATGACTGCAGCCAAGTCTCTATTAGCATCACCAAAAACGCGAAAGTCATTCTTGAAATGAATTGTTTTGAAACACTCTTCTCAGTTGAAATCAGAACTGTGTTTTTATTAGTAAAAGTAACCGACTTTGGCATTTGTTTATAGGAATTGCAGAAGCATGGAAGCCCTGATATAATCATGGCTCTTGTTGGCAACAAAGCTGATCTCCTGGAAAAACGAGAAGTATCTGTCCAAGTGAGCGAGATAATCCATCTCATCCTTTCTTTCATTCTGATAATTATTGTTCAGTTACCAACACTTACTTTTTGTATTCGTGAAGGATGCAATGGAATATGCTGAAAAGAATGGCATGTTCTTTATCGAAACTTCTGCTAAAACAGCAGATAATATAAACCAACTGTTTGAGGTACGTTCCTTCCCATATCTAGAAGCTCTCTTATTTGCTGAATGTAAATTAGGGGAGTCATATATTAATCACGGTTGCATTTTGAATGACATAAATTCGAAACTCAAATTGGAAAGTTACCATACCTTAGACAGTAACTTTTCATAGTACCATTCTTTATCTCTAACTTTCCATACAATCAATATTGAACGAACCCTTTCATTCCTTGCAAGGACACATTCTCACATAAGAAGCTGATGTGTGTTCTTTTTGGGTAATTTTATTTGACAGGAAATTGCTAAGAGACTTCCTCGTCCACCTGTCTCTGTCTCTTGATTGTCAAGCATGGAATGCGTGATAGATTGCCGCTTACGTCTGTAATATTATGTAAATGAAAGATTTCCAGCTTCTTCAATCTTCTCGCCGAGATTAATTTAAGTTTGACTAGATGCTCTTCAAATATGTCTTGGAGGCACAGCTATTACTTGAATCTTCTGATGGAGGCATATCTAAAATGCCCATTTCTACACATTCTGGACAACATGGATGTGTGTTTTGAAATAGTATTGTGTTTTGTCAACTGCCAAAATTATCATATTTTACATATTCCCATTTAATTTAAGATTAATGTTTGATGAACTATATGAATTTCTCAAATGTCAGTCTTTTATTACAATGCATGATTGCAACCAATTGTTATACCATGGATCAGGGTTCATATTGTATTGTGAACTTTGATACAAAAATTTTGTACCTTCAGTTAATACATTATGTACTTGCCGTTAACAGTCCTGTACATGTAAATAAGTAACTTGATAACTGTTGACACATAATATGATAGCTACAGTTTACGGGTACAAAAATTATCAACTACAAGTACAAAATGTGTTAACTACAGATACAAAATCTAAAGGGTACATAATATGATAGCTACAGGTACAAAAACTATCAATTGTAGGTACAGAATCTGAATGTTATTTTTTGCCGACTGCAACACTAAATTAGGGGTGGCAACAGGAGCAGCCAAAAGAAGTGTTTTGTACCTGTTCCACTAGTTGATACCATTAACTGATAGTCTTCCATCCAATTTATCTATTTCTCTCTTACAGTAAATATTGTCCACAAGATGTAACAGAAAAGACCAACCTAATCTATGGTGTGAAAGAGGACTACATCCATTTTGTTGCTATTTTTTGGGGTGATAGTGGGAGGTTTGGGTTATGTATAGATATATCAAGAACAAAATAGAGTGATTAATTATCATGCAAAAGTATCTATTAAGTTGTGAGCAGTTGAGCACAATATCATTGTCCAACCTTGTCGAAGTTAGTTGCGGTTCACTCTAGTTGGCTCGCACTCTAGATTCTTCTCGCTCACTAACACTAAGTAGTTCTTTCCTATGTCACATTTTTCTTTAGGCTGACACTGGACGAGTGGACGACTTCATTCTGAATAACTTTAACTCTAGACACTTTTCAGTTCCCTATGAACCTTATCAAGCACCGAATAGCCTTCTTTCAGGTAGCCCTTTTCCACCGTGAACCGGCCTCTCAACTAGGATTTCATGGGAGAAAATTTAGTTCTTTGAGCCTCCGTAATAAAAATGCAAATCCAATTCTCCTTGAGGCTCAATACACATACACATAACACATCCGCTTAAACTTGTAATACAGAGTAATAAATAAGAGCAATTTTGCCATTATCTGTGTTCTCTGTTACATAACACAACCAAAATGAACTATTATACATCCAAAACTCATAAAAACTCGCTTTTATTTTATTTGCCAACCCACACACAACACAATGATCATTGTATGAAAGCTCACGCATAAACAATATCACCAAACGTGCCTATGAGAACGAAGCAATCGACAACAAAAAGCCTCGCTTCCAGTCTCTTCCACGGTTTTCTTAGCGAATATCAGGAAGTAGATCTTTAGAAGTCATCCCAATTTCTCCACAAATGTGTCTGTCAATGTGTGCCCGTTAACTATATTTGTAGTCAATACAATCAAATCATATGCCATCCCCTCCTGCAGATTATAAACTGCATCAAGACATTGGAAAATAGACCGAGAAAACGGTGGAAGTTGTTGATGATTTGTAACTTCTGATAAAGTAAAAGTTTCATGTGATTTTTATGAACCTTTGAACATCGTCTTATATGCACACAGAATACATTTGAATAAAAGAACTGTTATGTAAAGTAGAAGTGTTTCACAGAATGCATGAATTGGAACGAAGTCTTGTATATTTTTTTCTATCCAGGATTTGGAGCCACCAATGAAGTCTTGTATATTGGGACAACTCATTAGTGTATGATTTTCATCAAGCAATATAGAATATTTAGTTTGATACTTGTAATAGTTCGAAGCACATGGGCAAGCCATTACTGTATTTTTTTAAAAAAAATCTAGGCATCTTCATAAAATTGAAATGTAATAAAAAGGAAGAAATCAGACGCTGATTCTGTTAATTAATTAAGGAATTAATGTAAACCTGGGAACTGAGGAACCGAAGAGCGTTAATCTCTGCAAAGGTCACCCCACCGATGAAGACGACAAGCACCACCGAGCGCCTTCCATCACCAACTCTGTGAAAAGGGAATACCACAAGATGAAGTTATTGTGAAGAAGCAATGGCCTCACTTATCACCCTCCACCAAAATATATATAAATAAAGAAATAATGAAGATAGATAAACAACAATAAGACTTTTGCTGTCAGAATATCCAACACTACTATGTTTAGCCCCCATCTTCTCTTCTCCCTCTCTCGCATCAAGTCCAAATTACTGTTGCTTTCTATCCGTGTTCAAATTTTAATGATCATATCAAAGATGAACAACACGTGAAATACTCTTATATCTTCTGTTAAAAATTAATCTAAAATCATACGTCTAGACCTTATGAGGATCTATGTGCACATGGTCGAGAACATTGCAAGAACCTTACTTGTCTGAATTATGTACAGACCCCAGTAGATTGTCATAGGATGGACTGCTTGCAAATCCACTCTGTAAAGACAGTTCATAAAAACACATTTCAGATTCTTATGTGGTCCTGCTATATAGAAATTTCAACCATAAACGAAAAATGAAGGTTACCCTCTTGCTATCTGAATGTGGCCCTGGCAGCATTCTTAATATTTCTTCAATGGGACGCCTGTAAGATATTTAATATTAGTTTACCTTTTTTTTTTTTGGGTACAAGCGAGGGGAATAAGGACTGAGACTAAATTGAGTCTCAAGCCAATGCCACTGGATTATAATGTTCATGACATAGGAGTTCACTTTCTACTGCAACTAAATGGAAAAAAGAATGTTGAAAAATAATGCACAAAAATTCTTCATAAATGATTAAATTGTAATCTCCTTCAAGAAGATCAGGTTTTTGAATTTTTCAAACATTAAATCTGCAAACCCAGTTTATACTTTTTTCAGCCTTGATCTCCTAGGCTTCTTCCTCTTACACTATATTACTATCAGATGAATAGAAACCAACTGTGTAGATATAAGTTCATACTGCAGTAATATGGCCAATATTATCCAACAGAGCTCTTCAGAGAAAGAGTTTACCATCCAGACCGGATCGCATGCTGAACAAGGCGAATGCTGAGGGGTGCATATCCAGAAAACACATAGGATATATCATCGGGGCTGTATTACATAAAGAATATTAAGGATCAGATACCAAACAAAGTATCATGAGTAAATTTCCAAAATGATATGATATTCAGATTATAGGCCCACAGAACATTTTGTTTCTTTGACTCATTTTTAATCCTTTAATCTCAAATGAATGCACTAATCACCCTAATTTTAGATAAAAACACTCCCACCCAAGAGTAAAAACTGTCTTTCTGCATATTTCTACTGCTCAAAAACACACATCACAATTGCAACCAAGATGAATAGATGCCCCTAAAAGCTTCATAAAGTAATATAAGTTCACAATTTCTGAAGCTTAATATCTTTACAAAGCTGAAGCTAAGAAGTATCATCTGTGGCAGAGTTTATTTTAATTGAGCCTGTAAAGTGGCTTGAACAATAATATGCAGCTTAAACAAACAAATGCTGGCAATAGATGTGAAGCACATTTGAGAGCAAAATCATCTTCTGAAGAAGTCTGAGATAAGAAAAATGCATACTTGGCAGTGTCAGTATCCTCAACAACAAGCTGGAGAGCACGTTTAATTGTTATCCAGTTGCTTTTTGACTCCTGAGAGGAGGAACAAATGCCAAATTCACCATGATGGAATTAAGTAAATACATCAAGCAGAGAAATGTAACAACAACCAAGCAACAGACCTGTTTCCTGAACAATCCCGCTTTTTCCAAATTATTCAAGGTTGCCATGTGCTCAAAACCATAGCTGTGAAGTAACTCCCGCCTAAACAAAAGACAAGAAAAACTGAAATATGCTTACTTTCCAATGATAGCCAACAGCATAGGGAACAGAGAAATTTAAAATAAAGTGACAGACAGAAAATAAGTAATTTATAGAAGATGTCATTTATATTCCACTTGCCTTAAATAGTCAAAATTCCTTTTTGGTAATCCAGAATTTGTGATTGAAAATAAGATGAGAAGGCGTAGAACATTGAGAAGAGGTTCCTGCTTATGGATCATCTCTTCAATGTACTCCATGCATCTGTATCCACATATAGCATTAGCTTTCATGTTTACCCTCAATAGTTACACAAAAATGCTAGTTTGAAATGCTGCAATTAATATTTAGATGAATTAACACTTGGACGTAAACTGAGACAGATGAAGTTACAAGGATGTCCCATGTATGTCACATATTTTCTGAGTACTAAAATGTTTGTGATGGCAAAAGAAAAACTTAGTTCCGTTTTTCAAAAATAGAAGATGAACCAAAGTAACCAAATATAGAGAATGAACGAGAAACTGTCATAACAAAAGATGTTACGGTAAATTACAAGGAAGAAAAGAAAATCAAAGAAACTCTAGTAGGGTGTTAACACCAAATAGAGAAACTTAAGTGAGGATAACCTTCATGTATACAGTATACATAACTTAATGTGATAGAAGTGCATGCTTAGACATAAAGAGTGGGCTTATTAGTAACACAATTACACAAATATGTCTTTTTTAAAGCAATATGGGAAACAGTCATCACCCCAGACCTTGGAACATTATAAAATATGATAGCCTTTATAGTAAGTAATACTATTGCATAAGACATTTCTTCTTGATTCCCAACCAATAACAGAATGAAAATTAAAATGTAACTTACATATCATAACTTTCAGACTCCACAATAGTGTGTTCCATATCAAGCCGCCCAAGAAATGAAGGTTTAGATGTAAATTTAGTCAAATGCTGAGCAAGATTAATATGCCTCTGAAAAGGAGAGAAAAAGCAATTAGTATCACTATATTTTCACACTACTGAAAATGGATGTTAACTAATCTGGAGTACATATGAACTAATGAACTTACTGTCATTTCAGGCAACGAGTTGAGTTTTTTAACAAAATCTTTCAATTCAGAAACTGATTGGTTCTGCATCAAATACACAACAACGAATTATATATGGACTTCTATAATATAGCACATCCAATGGAAAAAATCTCTTGGTATTGAATATACACAACATAGGTAAAAATGTAAACAAATTATTGAATTAGTTTATTTGGAGCTCATAAAAAGAGAACACCACTGAGGCTGCAGCCTTTGACTTCAAGTTATACATAAAATAAATAACTTAAGCATTCTCTCTTGAATTCATTTTCTAAGTGGGCTAATTAATTTTGTTGCTGGAACCAAAATGACTGCACAAGTCTTAGAAGGTCTAATCAGGTATCAAAAGTCAAAGCATTCCATGCACATTTATGAATATGTGGCCTTACAGTAGACTGCATCTCAGTGTAATCTTGCTTCATGGATGTTGCTCTTTGACGTAGAACCTGCAATTGCACTGCAAATGGCAATTAAAGGACCAAATACAAAAATAGTAGTGATGCTAGTTCAGAACAAGGAAAAAAACAGAAACTTCACAAAAATGACATGGAAAAAGGATGTTCAAATTGCCTAAATGTGTAAAGAAAGCTTAAAAAAATAGATCAACCTGGACAACAACTTCAAAGTTCTGATTCCGTATCTCTTTGAATAGCTTGTCACTGCAAGGACACACTAGGTCAACAGGCCGAAGAGCTAGACATGTATTATGCACCTATAGCATGCATAGCCAAGCATACAAGGGGGTAAAGAAAAAACATTTCTCATTATAGGCCACATTCATAAGTGCAAGTCTAACTTTGACATCCTCTAAACCTAAATACAGTACAATAAAGAGCATCTTAAGAGCTAAAAATGCCTATGAGCATTCAACAAGGTTAGTAAAGACAACTTCATTCCTGAAAGGCATATAGCAGTATCAAATGGAAATTAATACTTCTCTAGCAATTGAAAATTCAAAGAGAAAATTTACCTAGAATTTAGAGGAACCTTCATCTTCTTCCCCTCCTGCTGCTGGGCACCCATTATAGAAGCATCTAACTCCACAGCACCATTATTGATACCAAGAAACTGTATGAAACCCATTAGAGAATTCTCACAAAAGTGTGCTTATCATGTTTTCACTATCGATATAGCAATGTCTAACATTCACCTTAACACATGCAGAATAATAGTACTTTCAAAAAGAACATTTTTACCTCATCTAGTAGCCCTTCATATGTTAACTGGGAACACATAGGAGTAACCATGTCTACCTGCAACATGTTTTGAGTCTTAGAACTAATCTAACAGATTTTGTCATTTCATGCCTTCTATAGGATACTAATCAAACTTCTCTCTACATCATTCACTCAAGTTACATGCATATACAACTTTATACAAAAGAAAAGGAAGTATACTCAATTACTCATGAAGACATGAACTTTCATGGTTGTACACTTGTATGCACTAAACATGAAATATTTTTTCTAAAGAAGAAGTGGATACCTCTCTGTCAATAAGGATGAGAGTGTTAATATCTGGCACAACAACCTGCATTGGAATAATTAAGATAATGTCATTTGTATAAGTTATGGTGTATGATGCACTCAGGTATAATGTTGTTCATAAGGCTTCACGTTCTAATTACATCAGCTGTGTTCACAGGTTCTTCAGCTTGCATCCGATTTAAAATGTCAGCAACACGAACAGATGCTTTCCCTTTGGCCCTCACATTTGGTATGACACCAAAGGAACACTGCATTTATCAATCAACATACAGCAGTCAAAAAGTGAATAAAATTTATTTTGCATAACCAACTTTTCTTTATGTTTATCTCTATCCATGTCATAAAATATGAAGCTTATTCACAATGGGTGATGAAGTTCTAAAAGAAAAACCTCAAGCTTATGAATAGCTTTTGCTATGTGCCAAAGAGAAGTAGTGTCTCCATCAACTGTGAACTCCTGTCATGTAAATTGCAACTACATTTATATGTATATCATAAAGATGTATAAAATACTCTGAAAGCCAAAGACGACACAAGGACCAGACATACTCTGTAAGCAGTGTCAAGTTCAAAAGACAAAACATCGTCATCCAGTGGAAGTAGATACAAGGGATACTCGCCTATAGTCAACAAGTGGTGAACTTTCTCTTCCTCAAGTATCTGTATTGCACACAAAGTTAGGGACAAAATACACCAAGATCTCAAGCGTGAAATAATTCCAACATAAGCTAGGACAGGGAATAAACCTTTTCACATACAACTGCACGACGAGGAACAAAATACAAAAAATACTCTCTTTGAATACCCTTAGAAGTATCATGGTGAATTTGCGAGCAAATGCTCTTCATTAAGTCGAGCTGAGCTCGAACGAGAAAAACAACTTTAGTACAATCTGTTTGAACTGGTTCGCTTGTAAGATGCCGCAATTCAGCCCCAAGTTCCTGTTTATGATCACCAAAATAAAATTTGGAAAATACATATAGAAAAATCTCCATTGTGCTTATTACACATATCGGTCTCTCAACCCCTTTATTTGCACCTAATCATTCCAAGTAGCAATTTTGCAATAACAACCCCCCACCCCCCCAATTAACAAATTTAGCAACGAAAGACTTCATCTTTCTCTCATTTCCATGACTTGAAAGTTGAAATTACTGAAATATCACATTTATACTGGTTAAGAAAATACATAGCTTCAAATGAATGAGAAACAAAAAGGGAGTAGCAGATAGAGATAAAGAATGTTGCCTTGAGAATTGAACTCTGCACAAGAAGTGAGAGTGAGCCACTAAGCTTGGGATCGATAACTAAACACTTCTGCCCTCGAATCTGCAACCCCCCATTAAATTAAAAAAAAAAAAAAATGCATTATTAATTGAGAATTCCAAATTTGAAATAAATTCATCGAGCACTGCCAAACTCTAACAGGAAACTCAGAAATTAGGCAATGCATCAGTATAAAGCAAGCACAAGTGAAATCCATATAATAAAAATAATGATAATTTTTAAAATTGGAATTGAACTTACGTTCTTCAAGATCATCACCAGCTCCTTCTGCGATTGATCTCTGTAATATCAATACAGCAATGAGTTATCATCAAGAACAACACAGACATAAAGAAAAGTAGTAAAATTAATGATTTTTCAGATAAGTGCACCTTATGGAAGCGAGGTTTATGGGAGCATTGTCGAGGCTAGGAATTTGCGCCATTTTCCGTTTCCTCCTCTTCTCTCCGGTGTCGTTCGTTCTAAATTCTCTGTCCAGTGCACATCTTTTTGCTTGTAAAGGTGCCTACACCGGGTTCAGATTCGGGTATCCACTTTTCCCATTACGGGTCTTGTTTTGAAACCGGATTTGAGTCATTTGACCAAATTTAAAATAATATTATTTGTATTAATTAAAATTTGGGTGTGTGATTTTTATGTCACTTTTATGGTTGCAGTAGGCGCTAGGCGCTAGGCGGGCACCAAAAAAATTAAAAAAAATAGTAACAGACTTGTAGTTTGACAATTTTAATGAGGTTGTTTTCAACGTTCACTCAAATAACACATCTAAATAAATGAAATAATGATAATTTATAAGTCATAATGTCATAATAATATTAAAATCAATAATTAATGAAAGACGACATCGGTCAAAATCGAACAAAATCGGTCAAAATCGGACAAAATCGATCGACTCGGCCGAGTTGGCCGAGTTTGGCCGCCCAGGCCGCCTAGGCGGCCGGCCGAGTTTTGGCCAAAACTCCAAGGCTCGGGGCCGCCTAGCGCCTAGGCGGCTAGGCGGCCGAGTTTTGCAACCTTGCTTTTATCAAACAAATTAATTCATTAACCAATTTTGTTTGATACTTTGATTCATGGGAAAGTTCATAGTTACTAAAAGTGCGCTTTATACGAAATCATCTTTAAATTACTTTTATAACTACTAATTAAAATTAATAAGAATAGTTCTTACATAATTAAATGGTGTGGAATTTAAAACATTATGATTACTAAACCCTTTAATTAATTCTGTACTAAAGTATTGTATTATTTTGAAAAACATTTCTAACATTTATTATTATATTGACAATTCAAATAAATGTCTAAATATTATTTAGACTTGATATAATCTTGAGGCTAGGGTGTCCAAATAGGTGGGCATAATGATTCGGATCGAAGTCTAAGTAATTCAAGCTTCATAGGCTTCGCTAATCATGATTCATAAGTCAATTCATGATTGATGATGATCCAAGTTTAAGTAATCATAGCTTCATAAGCTTCACTAATCATGACTCATAAGTCAATTCATGGATGATTATCTTGTACCGACATATAAATCATCCTTATTTAATGTTGAATTTAGATCATGTGTTCATTTATAGATGTATATAATGAACAAGGAAAATAAATAGAACAACTTATACATTGAATTGAAGTGGTCATTTAATATAATCACTAAGGTGCACCCAACTTTATATGAGTTTGATGAAGCATGATTTGTTACAAAACACAACTTAACTAGTGATATACCTCAAAATTAAGTCTATAAGTTTTTGTTTTGCTAGCCCGTAGAGGTATGGAAGTTTTGATAATTTTGCTTTACCATCAATTACAAAGTGTAGGACAAGTAAATCTTTCACCGATGATCTTTAAGACAAGAAAATAGCTTTGTGCGCTTACACGAATAACAATATAACATTTACATCATGCTGTTATTGGTCAGGTTAAGTTGACGCAATTTATAGAGTTAGACTAATATTATATATACTTTTTTTTTTTGGAGTTAGAGTAATATTATATACTTCTTTTTTTAGTGTAAACCATGAGGTGTTCTCGGTCTATCTTCGTCTGTCTTACAGTCCGAGTTTACCTGACTAATTCTCGTTCGCTTCGGGAGGTATGAGAGCTAGTCAAAGGGGACGCCACAAAAAACTCATTTGCCACTTAAGCTACCCCTTTGAGTTAATATTATATATACTTCGACAATACAAATGTTAATTCATATTACACTAATTAATGCCATTATTTGAACATCAATTTGGTAGTAGCACAGAATTGAAAAACAATAATAACAAAATCTGGGAAATTTATTATTGGAAATTTACAGTCACTCTAAATTTAACCATTATTGATTCCCATCTTTCTTTCTCCGACATTTATTCCAGTAGTACAAGGATTCCCCAACAAAGATACAGGGAATCAGGGATAGAGAGACTCTTCACAAGAAACTACAATTATAACACATCTGCATCTGCAAATTTCAAGCAATTAATCAGCACTGGGATTAGATGTCCCTTCCAACCAATGTTCCAATCTCGCTTCTGAATTCAACTCCTCATAGCTCTTCGAGGACGAAAGAATCCGGTGATCCCGAAACAGGCTTCTATCCACCCGCACCTCATGTCCATCCTCGCCTATCTGACTCGACACGGGCAGGTCATCGCTGTCTGCATCTGCAACAGTCGACGAGGAGCTCGCGTCTAAAGCCGATGGTGTGTGGGCCCGAAAGGTAAAAGAAGGCTCACCCGCCTTTTCTCTGGGTTCGAGCTGAGGCCACTTGATACTGCTCGGTTTTTCTCTAACTGATCTAAACACGTTTGACAGATACCCGCCTCTCTCAACATCGGGTTTGGGAGATGAACGGCCCCAAGAAGTACTACCTCTCCCGACCCGAAAACTTGAACTTCGCATATTTATCAACCCTTTCTTCCCGTTCCCGTTCCCGTCTCTTGCTGACAGGACGGTGAGGGAATGTCGGATGTCCTTAATCATCCCTTCAGCAATCGGGAAGCCACAGTCCTTCATCGATCTAGCCATGGCGATAGAATCCTCCAAATCTTCTGCATGTAAAGTTGTCCCGTGAGATTTCTCCGCAACCTTACTTTTGAGATTGACGAGGTTGGGCACCGCGTTACGGACGTGCTGTTGAACGTAGAAAAGCCCCACACACGGTTCGTTTGCCACGAATTTTACCATGTCTGCCAAGTTATCAGCTATCTCCACGAAACCATCTGTCGTGGAAAATTCGTGCATCTTTTTGAAGGACAACGGCTCATCATCACTGGCGGTATGCAAATTTAATGACAGAAAGCGAGATCAACAAAGTTTCATAAGGATTGACATAGAAGTTGAGAATACAGTCTATATCAGATAGCAAAACTGAGAAGTAATATATCTATGTCAGATGTATCTAAGCATTTACCAAGACTAGGATGTTGTCAAGGTTGTCTTTAGAATTCTTGCTATCGCAAACAGGTAAGTTCAGTGTTGCAAAAATCGCACCTAGGCGCTCTAGGCGCCCGCCTAGGCACTCTAGGCGCCCTAGGCGGTCCCCAGGCGCCTAGAGGGGTTTTTTGCAACATTGGGTAAGTTTATGCTATTAAAGTCTCCCAAGACAATTAAGACGGGGGGCGTCAAGTTTATGCTATTAAAGTCCCAAGACAATTAAGACGTGGGGGGGAGGGGGGAGGGGGGGTCAAAGTATTATATTCAAGTGAAAAGAGAACATTTAGATATCGAATAGTATCTTACTTGAACATAGATCATATGCACAATGAGGAGCTTATTCGTAGTCGATAGATAATATAAAAATGTGCAAACCTGCAGATATTTTAGAAGCAGCCATTAGTCGTCATTGATGCTCATTTGCTAAATTGCTCGAAATTAAACCGTCTTGACAGCATGGAGAGGAAGATGCTTATAGCTTCAGCCGAAGCAGAAGCACCTTCTCATTTCACGATTCATATAGGCACCGAAACACAAAACTAATCCATACATATTGCATCTAGGGATCATATCATAACTTAAGCCAATGCATTTCCACCCAAACCATTTTGACGAAAAGAGATGTTCACTTCAAAAAGCCCTTCATGACATTTTAGTACCTGGCATTAACACATTGGGAACAACATTCCCCACAACTATTGAACAATTTACAAAACTAAAAAACACAACCAAAAAACAAAGAACTTTTAATAATTCACAAGACAAGAAAAGAAGGGGCCCCCCTTCAACAAGTTGGTCTGGCAAACTGTTCGCTTGGTAACCACAAAGTTCCTAGTTTAACTCCCCGTGGAAGCGGCCCATTGGCCTTCTTGATTTGAACTGCTCAATGGATAACCTAAACTGGTTTACATGGTCCTTTACCGGGACACAAGGCGAGGTTTACCCGGTGCACGTGACTCTGGTTTCCTCTTCACCAAAAAAGAAGGGGAGACAAAATCATACTACAGGAGTACAGGGCTAATGGAAAAATTAAAAATTGTTGAACAAGAAAACACATGAAAGGGAGACCAATTGCATAGTAAACAGTGAAACCTCAATTACATCAATAAATGGAACTCCAGGAAGTAAATCAATCAATTCCCACTATAATTCATGAAAAGCCCATTAATCAAAATGCAATTTTACCTCAATTTCACAAACAATTATGCCAGCAAGCAAGATAAACACTAAAAGCTGCTATCTTTCCCTCTCTAGCTTTGTGTGCTTGGGCATTAGTATAAAGATGAAATGGATGAGAGGAGAAATTGACTTACAGATCAAAATAAAACCCTTTTCGAATGGCGAGCTGAAATGGAGTTCCCTGATTTTTCCCACTGTATACTTGCAGATATATACACCCGTACATAAAATAAAATGTATATATATATATATATATATATATATATATATATATATATATGTACGTGTATGTATAGGCTATCTTTTTGTCTGTTTCACGCGGTGATTATTTTAGTTGTGTTGGGTAGAGCACATTATCAAGATCGGGTTAGTCAACTAACGACAGACACAGACAACGATAGTCTTCCTTCAATCCTTCTTCACTTTGTGGTTTGAGCTTCGAGGAGGATAATGATTTTGCCTTATAAATCCCACCGTCCATTGGGTAGTCGCTATCCAGCTAGTAACTTAAAAAAAATTATGATCATGGAGCAATTTCAGTCAAGTTAGTTAATTATTGATTTAATAACTACATTTTTTTATCTTATTTTATTTATCAGTCAAACCAATTATTTCTTCAATTCTTATTTTCTTTAGTAAATTTTTATTATTTTTAAATTATATTTTTTTGTGTTTAATATTTTAAATATATAAATTTTATATATTAATATTAAATTTAATATTGTTAAAATTAATTTTTATCAAGACTCATTAATCAAACCAGGCAAACAAAATAGAATAGAAAGTCTTATAACAAGACTATATTTATATTATGTGGTAAATTATCTTAATTTCTTATATCTAAAAGAGCTTTTTTAAATATATATATATATATATATATATATATATATATATACCTTATTTCCTTTATATTTTAAAATAACTTTTTGGGGTTAAATTTCAAGAGACAAATTAAATTTTTTGAAATGGCAAAAAGGTTAATTTAGTCCTTATTTTAACAAACTTCTCCTATATTTTATATGTCAATGTTTATTTAGATAAGCATAATTTGATTATTGTCAACACTCTCTTAATCGAACTTGTTGCATACAGGCCCTGTTTGGTAAATAATTGGTCTATAGGTCAATTTTGGCTTATTTGATCACTATTAATTGTTTGATTTAGTTAAAATATTAATATAAATGTTTGGTTAATTAGCTTTTTACAATTCCAAAAGGTTAAAATTCAAAATGCTAATCCAAGCAACTTTTTCAATTAGCTTTTTGAGAAAAGAAATTATACCAAACAGCTATCAGCTAACAGCTAATTTACCAAACACTTTTCTACAATCAGCTAATGTTATCAACTATTTATACCATTTAATTAACACAATCAGCTAACAACTAACAACTATCAGCTCACAGCCATTTTACCAAACAGGGCCACAATCTTTTTAGGGTGACTTATTTTTTTTACCTGTTTTGCTGACTATTACACATAAGCGAAATTTATCCAATATACACCCCTAATAGTTGTTAAGAGTTTTCCTCCTCACCTAAAAGCAATGCAAGAATGTGCCTCAAAAAGGGCAACTGAGTGGATAGAACATGATTGTCGTACCTGAAGATCACAAGTTCAATTCTTATCAACACGTCGAGTCTAGCAATATTTACGTAATGCACACTGCAAAAATAATACAACATTTTCTAGTTTTGGCTATCAACACTGGTGCTAATCGATACTATAGAAAATCCAATATATAATACATATACTAGGTAACATGGACCTATACATTAGAGACAACTTCAACCATGTTTCAACTTTTGAACCTCCCAGTAGTCCAGAATGCAGTTTATTGCAACAGCTGGGCAGGATTATAAAGGCTGTGTAGCGGTTTAACATAACGCGATATGCGACGACTACTGGCCTAGCTTTGTCGTTTTCCAGACTACGAGAAACCAGACAGATGGTATTAGTCGAGAGCACAACCAGATCGATGATAGATCATAGATGCAGAGTGTGTGGTTCATGAAAGGAAATTAAAGTTGGGTTCGTTTAACTTACCAGCGTTTCATGGTCCCCCATGATCTCATCGATTAGCTCTTCGAGTGGCTTATCGGCTGCATTAGGAACGAGAGCTGCAAAGACGGGTTGTTCTAGTCCTGCAATCACCACCAGAAACAATTGAGAATGAAGCAACTAAGCAATCTTTATTGGCAACGTGAGAATGGAAATCATCCAAATTACTCCTATTGTTTACCGCTTTCTGGAAAGGCATCTATGAACATCATCATCTCCTCTCCAGTTAGACCAGACAGGAAGCAAATCCTTGGAAGTGGTTTCGCAATCTGTAAAAGCAGAAAAATGTTTCTCGATCCCAGTAATTATATCATCGGTGTATCCACAGGACCACAACTATGCGTGAAGGGGACAATAAATACGGTCTTGGAATTGTTGCATTGTACAACTATCACTCCATCAGTAAAGAACCAAGACTCGTACGATTTCAAACCTTATCACTAGCATAGAACTTGCTAAAGAAAATTCATGTCAGGAGTTTAAAAAGAAACAAGCTTCTAAAACGTTGAGTAATTTAACCTTCAGAGCTTTCAAATCTCGTTGTTTTGTATTCACTGCTTCCCAAAGCGAGCGAGATATCATGTCTTCAGTGCAGAATATGATCTGCATTATGAACCCTAAATCAGGAAAAAGTGAAAGAAAAAGAAATTCACCTTCATAGACTAATTGTTCATTTAGCCTGCATGCAATGAGTAACGAAAAAACAAAATAACCAGCAGCAGTGAATGTCCTGTTGAAAAATGAGGCGAATACCCGAGGGTGCTTTCTGACTCTAGTCGGCAAACCAACCAAGAAGGCCAATAAAGGACCTCTAGTCGGCAAACCAGCCTAGGTTGCCCATAGCTAATTGACTCAAACCAAGAAGGACAACAGGCTGCTCCAACTGGGAGTCGAACTTGTAATCTTGTGGTTGGCAAACCAGCCAAGAAGGTCAATAAAGGACCTCTAGTCGGCAAACCAGCCTAGGTTGCCCATAGTTGACTGACTCAAACCAAGAAAGACAACAAGCTGCTCCAATTGGGAGTCGAACTTATAATCTTGTGGTCGGCAAACCAACCAAGAAGGCCAATAAAGCACCTCTAGTCGGCAAATCAACTTAGGTTGCCCATAGCTGACTGGCTCAAATCAAGAAGGACAACAGGCTGCTCAAACTGGGGGTTGAACTTGTAATCTTGTAGTTACTGGGCATAAAATGTCTACAAGAATATACAGCTAAACACAGTAGCACCCAATATGCGAGGCTTCTGCATATACAGGTCTGTCAAAGAAAGATGTACACAGTGGTAGTAGATCGCTATTCCTGTATTTGACGTTAGTTCTTTTAGGGGTCTTTTGGGACAAATTATTTGGTAGACCTATGAGTATCACACTCGGTACCCCCAGGCTTACATGGCTGATGGCTCTCATTATTTGAGTTCATCGGCCACGTAGACAAGTGATATGCAACTGAAAGGATGACGTGGCAAAACTAGGTGTATGAATCACGATAGTCCCCAGTGGCGTCCAAATACAACATAAAGACAAAGCACGAGAGGAACAAAAGGCTAGCAGAACTGTATTAAAAATCGAAAACAAATACGCATTACCTCTAGGAATTCACCATCCATTTCCTTCAGAAGTTGTTTTATCTGCAGATGAACATATTTGAATATCAGTAATGGCGGTTAAGAATTAAATTGGCCACAAATGTAAGTGTTTTCTTTCAAATCTTTGAAGACTCCACTTTCAAAAAGCTGATTGAGAGGCTCGTATAGATTTAAGGCAGATGTTCTTGAAACCTCAAGTTTTCCATTTATAGATATTCTAGTGATCTTCAAACAAAAATTTAAAAGCATTCAACTAGATCGTAATGCAATTAGAAAACGCAATTACCTTTACAGCATCCTCCAATTCAAAGCCCAGCAGCAACAAAGCCTGTTCATCCAAGTAATTTCAAAAGTTCTCTATGGATGAGTAACTAACAGAAATAAGCTAAAGAAGCATCAAAGATCGAAAAAAAATGCCAGTACGTTGAGCAAAATCATGGATTTCGCATATCAAACTACATGTTAACAATACATATCAAATTGAGAGGTCAAATCACAGTTTCTTGGAGACAAGTACTCGAGAATTTCAATTCAGAAGATAGGTGATCAGAACTTACTGGTGGGCCATATCTTGGATCTTCAGCATTTAAAGGAACAAACTTGGAATCTTCAATCAACTCAGTGGGAATGCCTGAAAAATGACATTGCGAAGAACATAATTGAAATATGTGTTTCATCACAACTAAAAGTTTAAACTGAAAAATAAGGCATTTTGCCTACTCATATGAAATTGAAGGGCGTGTAACTTAAACTGGCAATGAGACTGCACATTTATTGTTTTATATATAGGGGTGGGCTCAAATGAGAACAATCCATCCGGTAAAAAGTGAGGACCAATGTAAGCCGTCCGAGGATTCATCAATTGTTGAGAGTTTTAGTATAAAAAAATATGGGATCAAATTTATAATTATTGCAAACTTGGAATTTTGCAATATTTATATCATTTTTCCTTTATTTTTTAGGGACACTCAACTGTTAATCTACTCAAATTGATGGATGAATTTGAAAACAAAGCTCATTTCAAGTCATTAACTGAAACAAAGCTCATTGAACACTAGGAGTCTAGGACTCTAAATCGGTTTGAAAACAAAGCTCATTTCAAGTCATTAACTGAAAAGTATAATCCAACCCATATGCATACCATTAACTAATTCAACATATCAACAACCAGTTACACATTTACTGAAATTAGGGAGGAAACTAACGAATTTTAAGAATATTTCAGAAAAGAGAAAGGGAAATGATGAAAATAGGAAGAAAGAAAAGACCTTCCTCAGAGCTGGTTGCTCGTATAGAGTTGTTTTTCTTGAGATTTTGGAATTGGGTATTTTTGGCTGACAAAATTCTGGAGAAATGGGGATTACTTGACGGGTTTGACAAAAAGACTCCATTTTTACTGTGGAATCTCAGGCACGAGCTCGTGCTGCTTAAGCTCAATACTGCGGAAGCCATGAAGCCTGCCTGTCTTCCTCCCTCAACTTCCTTTATCTTAAACCTTTGCCTATCTTTTTCGCTACAATATTTTTATTTTAAGAAATGCTAAGCAACTTTACAATTACTATTCACAAAATAAAGAGGTAAAATATTATACACTATATTCTTTTTTAAAAAAACAAACTTAATATGATAGAAAATAATTGCTTGCGAGATATGGGTCCGTTTGAAAATTCAAAAAATGACTTTTGGAAAATGTTTTCTGAGTTTTCAGTGTTTGGAAGCAATAGAAAAATTCAGTCAATGGAAAATATTTTTCATTGACTGGGAAAAATGAAGCCATTTTGGGGGAAGTCATTTTCCGCCAAAATGTTTAAACATACAACTCTAGTCATTTTTTCAGAAAATAAAATAACACACCAAATTTTTCAAAAAATATTTTTCAGAAGTCATTTTTATACTTTCCAAACGGACCCTAAAAGTAGAAGTGTGTAACATGATCCTTTTATTTTAGGTTGTTTTACTTTTAATTTTAATAGGGGTTGTCATCAGTAATTATACACAAGATGCAAATTTCACTTGTGACATTGTTAAATAATAATAATAATAATAATAATAATAATAATAATAATAAATTACTCATCATCAATTGTAACAATATTGTTCTTAGGAATCAAACCCCGGCGTATGGGTTAAAAGTTAAGACCACAAGCCAAAGAACATGTTGTGGTTTAAGAAATGATGTCTAAGGAGAGAATAATGGTGCTTATTTAATATTTATATTGTGCAGGGATTGTAGATAAATGTACAGCTAATTTTCAATCTTGGTTATACACATGTTTTCTCACTACATGGATGATATAGTGTATATGAGTAAATAGAACATCCTACATAAAATGTGTGATAGTTTGATGGATTGGAACTTGTATTGTTATGCTTAAGGTTGTGGGTTTGATACCCTTTGATAACAAATCCTTACATTATGCTTAGGATTGCAATCCATGGAAATTTCAAAGGTGTGCATGAGGGTGCCTTAGGAGCGCTCCAAACCTGTCAACTGACCCCGTCACTCGTTCAGGCTTTATATCTCGCCCTGCTCTATTTTCTTGTAGGTTGCTTTGCTTGTCTTGCTATTATTCACCTACTCCAAACTGCTATTAAACTTCAGCACTACTTCATACCACATTCATCTTCTTGTTCGACCCATCCATGGCTACCTTATACCATATTCATGTCCATCCTCTTATTTGAGCTCAATGTCAACTTCAAAAAGGCTCCAAGAACTAATACTATCATGTTTTTTCCTTTCACAAAAGCAAGATAGACCGCACAAAGAAGATCTTGTACAACATACCCGATCAAAAAGATATTGGTAAGAATTGAATTTCTAACATTTAAGTACAACAATCATATTTCACTCACTCGATTTTAGATTTTTTTTTTCTTTGACATGCTTTATTGTATATTTGTATATCTGTATTATAGTTTGTTAACTTGACGATGCAGACTCATTAGAAGAGGGGATCTGCATTTATTTGATCATGGAACGCATCAAGAACAGCTTGAAAAGAACGTAAAAACATCACAGAATAGCAGGCAGCATAAACTTAATTAGTTGTCTTTAATCATGAACTACGGCTAGATTGTGTCATTTTTTAGTTTTAGTCGCATGGTAGAGAATAAGACTGGCATGCATATTTACAGATAACTTCATGAAATTAGTGAAATGCTTCCCGGAAATCACATCGAGGAGACTAAGCTTTCTGGTTTGGTAATGTTCACAGAAAGCGTGCCAGCAGTCCACCTCTGTAGCATCTCCAGTGCAGCTTTCGGCTGATCCATTGGAACCATGTGTCCTGCATCGTGGACCTGTTTGCAATAAATGAGGAACCAGGCAAAGAACTTCTTAGGCTTCAATTATCATTTATCACAGCTAGAGACTTGACAAAAACATGGAGGAAGGAAAGAAAAGAGGACCTTGAGGAAATTGAGAGGCCCATAGCTTTTTAATAACCCTGCTTCTGAGCCATCAACTTCAAACGGTACTTCTGAAGATGCTACAAAATCATCCTGGCCCGACCATTCCATAGCCTGTACCCATCTTGAGTTACCTAATCATTTGAAATAAAATTTCATTCGGAGGAAAATATAGATTTCAACCATTGGCCCAAGATGAACTGAAATTATTTTAAAGAATAACTCACCAAGCCAGTTGCAGATAAGATCGTACTCTCCTGCATATATAAGCATCTGTATTCCATCCTCGAGCAATGCAGGAATGCCTACTTCAAGATTTCTCATCCAGTCAACAAGCATGGCCTGATACACCGTAGTACTACAAGATACAAAATCTATATCACCAACTCCAAGAGCTTCCTTAACAGATTTATCATCCAGAAAGGTCTCCATGTTTGAGAAGTCATAGCAGAGACTCCCCTCACACTGCTTCCTGATGTCATAGTACTGCATGCAAAAACATCAATTCTTTAGATCCTCAATGATGTATCCCCAAAAAGGTTGCCACCAAAATACAAACTTTCTTATCCAGTTGGTATCAGAAACTGAAACTTGGGCCTCGGAAAGAGTTCTATAGATTTTGAAATGAAGTAAAAATTCATAATGTGAACATTAGATCATAAATGCTTCCTTCTATATCATGTGGGTTTTTAGCAGACATATAACTAGATGACTGTACCATGAAAGTGCAATCACAAGGCAAAACATTGGCAGGCTAAAATATATAGACTTAATTTCCTTACATTTATGCCATTAGCACGTAAGAGGATAGCTTCAAATACAGCTTCACAAACATAATAGGCAGCAATGCAAGAGAGTGTCCCTTTAGTTCCTGAATTATTAAAAAAAAAAAACAAAAAAACAAAAACATTTAGGGTGTGAAATAGCATGAGATCTTAGTGGAAAAAGTAATCTTGCCATTTTTTATGTAAAACAAACTCAAATCAGACTCCCCCCCACCACCACCAAAAAAAATGAAGAAAAGAAAACCTCCCTTTATTTTAGGTTGACCAAAATTAAAAGAGAAAAGGATATTGCTGCCTAGACCTTTACAGCTTTACCGAGGTGTTATGATAAGACACTGAAATTATTATCATGTCCAATGCATATTCAGGGTAAGCCTTATCAAGGAAATAGTTCCCTCCCCCGCAACCTCAAAAAAAAAAAAAAAAAAAAAAAAAAAAAACTCCCTTTGTTTTATTAGGTTGACCAAGAAAAAAGTGAAAAGGAAATTAGCATGAAAATTGCATTCTTTACCACATAGCTTTATTGCTGCCTCACAAACTGGAAGCACCTTTACCAAGGTCTTATGGTAAGACTCTGAAATTATTCCCATGTCCAATGCATAATCAGGATAAGCTTTATACTGGATTGCTGGATCAGTAAGTCCATTACCAATGGCAAATCCCTGTACACTCATTTCTAGTTAGGTTAAACAATCCATTAATAAAAGTACAACAAATAGTTTCTGACCCATATTACCTTTAGATTTATGTGAATTCCTTCATTAGCCTTGTATCCCTTGTGGACTCTTGAAGCAAAAGCAGGTATATAGTGCCCAGCATATGATTCTCCAGTGATGTAGAAGTCATTCTTAGCATACTCAGAATGCTCAGTAAAGAAAGCCTAAACCATGAATATATTGTTAATGTGCATAATTCATCAAATCAGGGGGAAAACTGGCAAAAAGTTCAGACCAATAACAGTCAACTAAAACATAGGAGAGAAAGGGGCAGATGAAGTGCAAATGAATTAGAGATCCTTGCCCATTCTGATGCACAGAACACAGTGGTTGCGAGGGAACAAATTACATGAGAGGTGGGATTTATTTAAGTATTCACAAGCAAGAGACCAGTACATGCCATCCAGTTAGGCCAGGAAAAATCTAGACCTCCTCCATAAACAAAATAACCCGACTATGAAGGATAACTCAAGCAAAACCAGAGAACTGGTCTCAGAAGGGGGGGAATTTCTTAAGGCCATTACGAATAAACCTGTTGAGGACTCCAGCCCTAGATTCACGAATGCAAAAGCATAAGATGAAGGAGAGGATGCCATGCTCTGTGAAAGAAACTTTGGACCTTCAAGACCCTCACCTTGAGCCACCCCAGGAAACAATAGTTAATAATTAATATGTACCCCAATGGAGCATATGCTCAGCATGGAGAGGAGGATCTCCAGCTCAACACTTCCCAGTTTGTTTATTCATGAGATGGATAGCATGTAACTGTAGGGGTGTTAAAAACCTCACTGACCATTAAGAATCTACAATTATTCTTTCATGTGTGAACAGGAAACTTGACTTCTTCCTACCTCCACACCTCAAAGAAAATGGAGAGAGAATGGCAACACATTGGTTGAGTACTTGAGTCACATTGATCAAATATGCAAAGGTATACAGCAAATGCCATTTTCCAATTACCAGAACTCGTACCAGTGTAAAGGAACTATGCATGTGTGCATACATACATATGTGAATGTGATTATATTTATTTAAGGCACTATACATGCATGCATGCATACATACATAGTTTCGTACATGTGTGTATGTATGTATTTAAAAAAAAAAAAAAAAACCATTAAGCATTGATCTGAGAGTTGAATTTGTAATTAATTAAGTTTTAATAACACTGATTAGGCATTGAAACACAAATTAAAGTTCAGTAATTCAGTACTATGCATAACACTTGAGCATCAAATAAACAAGTTTTAACTGCAAATAAAAACCAAAAGCAATGAAGGAAAACAATTTCTATGTAACTAATTATATACAACATTATCAAGTTTAAAATACAAATTACAGATTAAAAAAACTTATTATACCGTAGTAAACAACATATGGCACTAAATTAGTAGAGTAAAAAGATGGCCTGATTTTCAGAACAAACTTTAAGCGGTAAAGAAACTAACCTGCAAAAACTCATACAAGTCATTGCTAACACCATCTTCATTGTGGCGAATATCACGACTGTCAGAGCTGTAACTGAAGCCAGTTCCAGTAGGTTGGTCAACATATATAAGGTTTGAGATCTGCAGAAAAAAACATAGAGAGGTAATGTGTCTTTTCGAAAGAGCAGTTTCCTTCAAGGGGTAACATATAGTTAACAGTCAGAAGTTATTGAAAAATGAAAACATATATTCACATGTCAATAGAATTCATTAAGTACAGTTTGCAGTGCACACTACATGGTTTAATGGAGTAAAGCACTAAAGCCAAATACAAAACACTATCAACATGGCAATTATATGCATTCATCATTGAATTCCATTGTCAACTTCCAAGTGACAGTTTAGACCTATCAAGTATTTTGGAAGAGGGTGACAGCAAAATGTATAAGCACTACTGCACAAGCAGTTGTGCTTATCCACCAAAAAACACTACCCACTTGCTTCAGAACATCATTGAACTGATAGACAATTTTGAAAAGAAACATATTACCTTGTCCCAGCCATAATCATTCCATACAAGTGACATGTTATTTGCAATTTTGAAAGGTCCATTCTCATAGAAAAGTGCCAACTCGCTGCTGCACCCAGGCCCTCCAGTCAACCAGATAACAACAGGGTCATTCTTGCTGTTGCGTGATTCAAAGAAAAAGTAGAACATGCTACACAAATGAAGAAACTGCACTCAGTATTTCAGTTTAATCAGGGCAAAGGTAACATTGGCAGGAATTGAGACCCCAAGGAAATAAAAGTTATACAAGGCAGGGCAAGTACTGGATGTCTGGATTAAATTCAACATAGTGGACCTCCAATACTTGTAAAACCAACTACATTTTTATACTTTGGCCCTGTTTAGTAAATGGTTGTTAGCTGTTAGCTGATTGGGTTAATTAGAGGGTATAACTAGTTGATAACATTAGATGATTGTAGAAATGTGTTTGGTAAATTAACTGTTTGTTGATATCTGTTTGATATAATTTCTTTTCTCAAAAAGCTAATTGAAAAAGTAGCTTTGAGTAGCTTTTTGAATTTTAGCATTTTGGAGTACAAAAAGCTAATTAACCAAACACTTATATTAATTTTTAAACCAAGTCAAACAACTAATAGTGGTCAAATAAGCCAAAATTGGCCTATAGGCTAACTATTTTACCAAACAGGGCCTTAATGTTTTAGGCAATGGGCACAATGTTGCAGCTTAAGCTACTCAACTTTAAGAAATATATTATGCAGATCGAAAAGGCGCTTGTCAGTCACTGTCTCATTGACAACAGAAAAAATTAGTGCAGCAAACAAAGATTCTATCAAATAGAAGGCCAAACTTTTCCCATTTTTCATCCTGGTGAAAATCAGTAGCAATTATGTAGACTATAACACTATCCAAATGAAGATAATAAGCAGGTCTGTATGTACATACACACACATGACTAACAGTGCAAAAAAGCGGATTAAATGAACTGCTAACTTCATGACTCATGAGTCAGCAATATAAAAGCTTAACACACATTTGAGGTATATCAGCCATCCATTTCAGGTATTTCCACAGTCAATTAGAACACAAATTCACATAAGCTTTCCAAGTCAAATGACAGAGAGTGCATTGCACAAGCATATGCATATGATTCACTTTTTAACACACAGTTATCCCAAACAACGCGGTGTCAATATATTCTCAGCCAAACAAAAAATAAACTCAATAAATGAAATGGAAATGATAATTAAAAAAAAAAAAAAACAAAACAAAACAAAACAAAAAAAAACTACAGTATTAAAAAAACTCAGAGGATTGAAAAGTATTTACTTAGCAGCATAAGAGCTTTCGATCTTATAGTAACCGGCATGGTGGCCTAAATTCTCAATGGAAGCGCTAGGATCGGCAAGGTTGGGGAACGTGAACCGCTTCTCGACGAGCCTGGGGCTCCGAGAGGCGGCAGACGGAGAGATCCGGTCGACGATGTTGACGGACTCCCTTGGAAACAGATTCAGCTCTCTGATCAGCTTCTCCGCGCGCGACGACTGAAACCTCGAAGTCGAAGGAAGGTGGATCTTCGCGAAGCAAGATGAAGCCGAAAGAACAACGAGACAGAGAAGAGATTGAGCTATGGAATACTTGAATTGCTTCATTTTGATCGACGCAGACGACATGGGCGAGAGCTTTGGGAGTATAAAGTTTGACTCCTCCGAGTAGAATAACTACTCTTTTCTGTAGTTCTGTACTATTAGAGACGTGGAGTCCGTAACGTCCGTTCATTACTTGATTCCGTAAGTACGGAGAGATAACGGCTTCCGATAATGACGGCGTTAAATAAACGGAGGAACGTTGACGGTGGTATCATTGAGATATTGAGTGCCTGAGTGGACTGTTTGACGAAATGTGCAGATTTAAAAAAAAAAAAAAAAAATTGCATTTTGCTTTCAAAAAAAAAAAAAAAAAGTGACTTACCACTTTTGAACTGAAAATAGATTTGTATAAATACTCAAATTCTTTTAAAAAGTAAAATAATTAACATTTTTATTCTTCCAAAAGTTGAACCCTAACCTTAAGGGCCCTACACTCCGACCCGACAGAGTATTTAGGAGGATATAATTAACATTTTAATAAATTATCATTTGGCAAACCCCGAACCTGAGACCTCATATACTTCCTCGAAACACAAAAAAGTAAAGGCCCCCAAACACCAGAGTTCGAACCTGAGATCTTTCATTTGAAGGGTCACAACTATGTTGCCCAACCACAAAGCCTTTGACAGAAAATAAACAACTTAGATTTTATAAATCAAATCATAAAGACTTAAACCAAGAAGACTCATTCAAAGTCGAACTTAAAATCATATAATTACCAAACCAACCGCCGGTCAGGCTGACGTTTTAATCCTTAAGATTTTTAGGAACCAAATCTGATTAGATCAATACTACCACAACTGGAAAATAAAACAATAAAGCTTAAATTATATCATATAGGCCATTGTGCCATAGTCCCCAGCTAGAAACCATACATTAAGGCTTGTAAGATGATCATAAACAGAAGAATCTGATAATAAAAATTTATGTAATCTAAATTTGATTGGGTTAAATTTGACAGATGCCTATGTTACTGTCAAACAGCAATATCTGCAATGCTATCCTGAATGACTATAGACTCCCTGCTCACAACAGCTCTTCCAAACATCTTTTAGTCGAAAAGCCCCTCATCGTACCAAACATCAACCAAAAAATCGACCATCTCCTGTGTAATGCAGAAACCAATTCGGTTTTTAGTTTTTTTGCAGTGGGCATTAGTATCAGAATGCAATCACAATGGCAAAAACGTGTGGATTTATATAAGAGATTGCAGTAGCAGAAAACATGGTTTAGGATCTATGTTTTCTTGATTGCTTACAGGTAAAGAAATTCGCTCAGAGAAAGGCTCGTTGGTTGACAGCAAGTCCTCGTAGGTCATCGACCAACTGCAGGCAAGAAACAGCTCCCGGTCACGACCAATGCCACAAAACCGACACTTGGTACTATGCAAAGAGAGCGTTTTACCTTATGATCGGATCTTTTGCAATCCTTTGAGTCTTCTGGGAAGCGTCTCCAACCCATTTTCTTCGGCTTTCCTCCCATGCAATGGCAGCTGGAACATCATATGCAAACATAATTTAGTCGGGGCGACTCAAATTAAAGCTAACGCTGTAACTATGGCTCACCGTGATTGATAAATACGGGAGTTGTTGCAACGTTCTCTGAAGCCTTCTTAGTTTCTCTGTCAGTTTTGCATCCTTCCATCGGTTGCTTCTCCTTTGCCTGGGGAATTCCAGTATTTATTTCCATGCCTGGTGTTACGAAAAATCATTACCTTTTGCAGTGCAAGAGGATCTCGCAACAAAATGAGTTTAATAACCGGTCTTCAACACTGCAGAAACAATCAAACGGGAAACGTATGAACAGAATTTCTTTCCCTTCTAAAAGAATCCCAAATTGAATTAGCTTATTACCATCCAACTAATATCATTTTAGCTCAAAACTAATAAATTTATCATCTCTTCCCTCAAAATCAGCCCAGGCCTCCGCTCGCCCCTCAAAAGCCCCCATACGCTAAATTCTAGATTCGCGATGTGGGATTGGCAAAACTACATCAATCTTCCCCCAAAACGAACCCGAATACATAGTATCAATCAAGTACCCTAACTTAACCTTCAGCATTCAATGGACTGACCATCTATAAAAAGACTAAGCGCCCGCAATTCAGATCCTAAAATGGTAAACCAAACATCATTAAATAAATCGCTAACAGATCAACAATAACCCTGCATTTCTGTAATAATATGGCTCTTCCTCACCCATAAAGGATAAACAATACCTTAATTTTTACAGATTTACTTAGGGTGAAACAAAGATTACAGCTTTATACTCCATATCAAACCAAACTTTCCCTTTCAATTCACCACCTCAAAGATTACTCTCCAGAACCCAAAAAAATAATCTGAAACTAAATTAAGCTAACAGCCCTGCTCAAAGTTACAGGAGGCAAATGGTATCTTAGACAACAACATAAATGCAACAATGTTTGAGAATATTACACATTGTATATACAGAAAACAATATCCAAGATACAAGAAATAAATGCTGCAGAGTATTATTGTTACTGTTACAAAAAAAATTAAATAAATAAAAGCAAAAAAATAAAAATAAAAATAAAAATAAAAACATAAATACAGAGGAAAATGAAATGACAAAGAGAAAGTGAATAGTACCTTATTGGGGCTCACAGAAGGAGGAGAGAAGAAAGAAATAAGTAGGCAGGTGAGGGGGTATTTATAGGGGAAATTTCTTGTGCCCCACTTAAAATCCAAAAAATAATTTTTTTTTTTTAAATTTATTTTCTTGATGTTGTTCACACTTCACAGTTTTCTTACCATCTGTGTCCCTGTCTCTCCCTCTCTGTGTGCTGTCTCTTTCTAGCTGATGTGGATGAGGGCCCTCCTTCACATAAGCTGCTAGATTGACTAAAATGCCCACTCACAAAACTCCTTGTGAACTGTTGTTACTGGATTGTCGTGGAAAACGTGTTTAGCCTTCCCAAGTTTTGTTGTGGTTTTCATAAATTTTTAGTTATGTGAAATAGAAACACAAGATTTTTATTTTTTAATATTATAGTTACCAAGTCCACTATCTAATCCAATTTAGTTAGAGTTATTTTTATAAAGAGTTTATTTGGATATATCATTTTTAGTGATGTGGAATATAAATACGGAATTTTTTTTTGCTAAATGAGGTTTTTTGTTGGATATGGGGAAAAACATGTTGGTGACCATTTGACTTGCGGACGTTTAATTTGAAACCTTATGACTATCAAGTCAACTGTCCGACTAATTTTGTTGGGGTCACCTCATAAAAGTTTATTTGCATATATCATTTTTAGTGACGTAGAATAAAAGTACATGATTTTTTTCTGTTAATAAATGAGGTTTTTTTTACTTTTTTTTGTTGGATATGGGAAGAAACAAGTTGGTGACCATCTGCCTTAGCTCCCACAGAGAATTAAATTTGGAATATTGTGATTACCAGTTCAACTTTTCTACCAACTTGATTTGTATGACATTATTTGTATATATCATTTTCCCTAAGCTAATAAAAGTTGACTAGGTTTAGAAGATGTGTTAGTTTGGTTCTTTTAGAATGTTACTTTGATGCATTGTAGTTAAATTTATTGAATTGGTTCATTTTTTTAATCACATAAATTTTAAGTAAAGGGATTAAGAGTTTACTAAAAGGGTGGTCTTGTCTTTTCTCATTTCTCTTTCAAACACGCCCTTAAGCCACTTTAGATGAGTTGACGAGAGTTGAATTAAATACTTGATTGCTGATTTAACGGAATGGGCGGTGTAACTGCTTGCAAAATAAATAGGGTAATTTGAATCATAACAAATTAGCTGCCACCTAATATCAGCGGTTTGGAGCAAATTCATTGCTTCAAACTATGGTGAATTCGTCAAAATTTTGATGATCCGTCATTTATCAAACAAAACCACACACTTTTTTGTCATTTAATTAATACTATAATATGATTTTGCATCTCCCCGATTAACAGGTTCCCTATAAACATTACCAAGATGAAAATAGGGATTCTCATTGTTCATCTTTATTCTCACAACTGGAAATTATTGAATTTCCGACCACCTGAAAGTGATCTTAAATCAAGTCGAAAGCCTTATTTTGACCACTTTTGGTATCCGGAAAAACCTTTGTTGCTATTTCCGACCACTTTTTGCTTTCGATTTTTTAAACTTCATGGGAACTGGTGACGGGCGGTGAAAATCTAAGTGCTCTAATGTGCCGTTACTTTGATCAGTTGTTTACGTCTAGCCAAGGAAGCATGGACACATATTTGGCATGCATTTCGAGTGGTGTTTCCAATGCACAAAACGAGCTGCTGGTAAGGCCGGTCGTCCATGATGAAGTCTGGAAAGTAGTGAAGGATATGTATCCTGATAAGGCGTCGGGACCGGACGGGATGTCTCCAGGCTTCTATCAGGCTTTTTGGGAGGTGGTGGGGGGAGATGTGGTGCACTTATGTAGAGACTTCATGATAAGCGGTGAGCTGCCGGAGGGGATAACTAAAACCAATATAGCTCTCGTTCCCAATAAGCTACATCCTGATTCCATGAAAGACCTACGACCGATCTCGCTGTGCAATGTTATATATAAGGTGGTGGCTAAGGTCCTAGCTAATCGCTTTAAAGGGCTGTTGAATGGTTTGATATCTCCGAACCAAAGTGCCGTCGTCCCGGGGAGATACATTACAGATAACACCATAGTGGCGTTTGAAACTCACCACTATCTGAAAAGGAAGAGGCATGGCCGGGAAGGATTTGCAGCGCTAAAGCTCGACATGAGCAAAGCTTACGATAGGGTGGAATGGGCGTTTCTGGAGGGCGCTATGCTCCGGATGGGATTCAACGAGAGATGGGTGAATCTAGTCATGCATTGTGTTTCCTTGGTTGAATACAGTGTTCTGCTAGATGGTGATAGGTATGGTCCTATCCAGCCGGGCAGGGGACTACGCCAAGGCGACCCATTATCTTCGTACCTGTTCATCATTGTGGGCGAGGGGCTAAGCGCGATGATTAGGAGGCATGAGGAGTGCGGGAATATTCATGGGGGTGGCGGTGGCACGGGGAGCACCTAAAGTTTCACATATGCTGTTTGCAGATGACTGCTTTGTGTTCTTTCGTGCCAACCTAATCGAAGTGGGAGCTATAGCAAAGACACTTCAGGGATACGCGGAGGCTTCGGGGCAACAGTTAAATTTTGATAAGTCCTCCATATCTTTTAGTGTGAATGTCGAAGCTGAAGATAGAGTTTCAGTGTGTGAGTTGCTGGGGGTAACATAGGGGGAGAGGGGAGGGAGGTACCTAGGACTACCATCGTTGGTAGGGCGGAATAAGAGGGAGGTCCTGGGGTTCGTGCGCGAGCGGATTGTCTCGAGGATCAATGGATGGAACAACAGATTTCTATCTCGAGCTGGGAGAGAGGTGATGATTAAAACTGTTCTGCAAGCCCTACCGACATACACCATGAATGTGTTCCTTCTTCCTCAGGAACTATGCACTGAGGTTGAACGACTCATGAATGGCATTTGGTGGGTGGGGGGAATCGAGGAAGGGGGGGGGGGATACGATGGATGAGATGGGACAGGTTGTGTGTTCCGAAGAAGATGGGTAGCTTAGGTTTTAGGAGAGTGAGGGAGTTTAATCTTGCCATGTTGAGTAAGCAGGGCTGAAGATTGATGCAATACCCTTAGTCCTTGGCTGCGAAGGTATTAAAAGCCAGATACTACCCAACGTCGTCATTTCTGGATGCTGACATTGGATCCTCGCCGTCGTTTGTTTGGCGGAGCTTGTGGCAAACGCAATCGATCTTACGGAGGGGTAGCGCATGGCGGGTGGGAAATGGGAAGAGTATTCGGGTGTGGACGGATGCGTGGTTACCCGATAAGCAAAATCGGTGTTGGAGACTGCGATGCCTGCACAGTTAGAAGGAATTAAGGTATGTGGTTTCCTCAATAGCTCTGGCAGGGGTTAGGACGTGGAAGTGATAAGCGATATTCTGAATGAGCGTGATGCTAGCTTGGTCCTCAAGATCCCTTTGGCGCGAACGGAGCGTGACGATACCCTTTTCTGGGTTGATGAGAGTAGAGGGAGGTTCACTGTTAAGAGCTGTTATCGTTTCATAGTGGGGGATTGTGGGAGTAACGGGTGGTTGGGGTGGACGACAATCTGGGCGATGAAAATTCCACCGAAGGTTAAGACTCTAGTTTGGCAGGCTTGCACTGGTTGCCTTCCAACGGCTGATGTTCTGAGAAGTAGAAGGGTGGCATGCTCAACGCTGTGCGCCTTATGCGGGGAGGAAGACGAATCAGGGGCACATGTCTTTTTTACGTGTGCTGTAGCAAGAGCCTGCTGGAGGCGAATCGGAGTGGAGTTGGAGGGGTACGATATTCCATCTTTCTGCATGGGAATAAAGACACTGTTCAATGTGTTGGAAGAGGAGCAGCGACGATTTGGCCTGCTGTTGTGTTGGGGAATATGGCAATGTCGTAATTAAGTAGTGTGGAATGCGGAGTCAGTGTGGGAAATATCTTATCTCTAACTCAAAGCTATTGGCATGGATGGTGTCATGCAAATGTGCTAGGCAGGGCTGAGGAGGCTGGTAACGGAGGGGAGGTGCAGCGGTGGCGAAAGCCGGAAAGGGGTCGGTGCAAACTCAATATTGATGCTGCCTTCAGTGCTAGCAGCGGTAAGGCGGGGTTTGGGTGGGTGCTGCGGGATGAACAAGGATCCTTTATGGTAGCCATGGCGTACCCGGGGGGAGTAGCGGAGAATGCGTGTATGGCGGAGGCTTCGGGAGTGAGGGAGGCGTTGAGTTGGCTGAAGGACATTGGCGCCAGGCAAGTGGATGTCGAAATGGACGCCCAGGTAGTCTACCACGCGCTGCAGGGTGAACCGGGAGAGTCTTATTTCGACCTTGTTATCGATGATATAAAAGACATTGCAGATTTAGTTGATGATTTGCAGTTCTTGTTTGTTAAACGAACAGCGAACCACGTCGCCCATCGCCTTGCGAGGGAGGCTGGTTCTTTGTCTGGTTGTGTTACTTGGTTTTATATTCCGCCTTTGTTTCTTGTAAACTTGTTGATTGAAGATAATGAAAGTTGATTGTTTTGGTTTCAAAAAAAAAAAAAAAAACTAAAATAATGTATTCAAAATCATCCCCTACAAAAGATTGATCCATAATTCTATTTATATCTTTGAAATACTTATTCACTTTTAAAATTAAAATATAAAATTAACATATAATATAGTAATATGGAAAATATACCATACTTATAAGCACCAATACCATTTGTATTGAGTATACAATAAAAAGTTGTACAAAAAGTTTTGAATATGTAACATGTACCATGAGTATGCAGTACAAACATAAAATCTTTTCTATTATATTCACTTTGAGATTGTACCGGATATCCGGATGCAAGAATCACAAATAATGCATAAGAGGAAAATAGGAGATGCTTAATAGACGAGAAAAAGTAGCAACCACTACTTAATAGTGTGCACTCGGTAAACCTAACATTGTGACCTTAGCAGCCACTGATCGGCTCAAACCAATAAGACCAATAAATAGACGAAGTTTAATTTCAAAGGAGAAAAGGGTTCAAAGAGTAAAAGATTTTTTTTTTTTTTTTTAAAAAATGGTCAAATAGATTCCTAAGCTTTATACGAAAAAACAATTAGACACATAAAGTTTAAAAAGTTGCGATTAAACATTCTAACTTTATTAAAATTGATCAAATAAGATTGTTTATCTGTAACCAACAAGTTAATGGTAAGATTACGATGACGTGGCATGATAATCTTCATATTGCGCCATTGATAACAAGCTTGTCGCCGTTCACCCAAAATGGCAACTAATTGGTTGCCTTCTTTGGATTGACAAAGATGGCGACCGACAAATGTTCACCGGTTTTATTATCAAAGCCCTAATGGCTGGTCAATTATTCTATGTGGATAACTGGCTATTAGGCCTATATACACCAAAATAACAAGTTATAATGTTTAATTGTACATTTTTAAAGTTTATGGACCAAATTTGTTTCGCCTATAAAGTTAAAGTGCATAATCGACCATTTTTCCTAAATAATACTTCGTACCACATACTAGAGTCTAGAGTAATGTTACATATCTCTTCTAAAATTTACCTCATTACTTTTATTTTGATGTGACAATAATATCTTCTCCCAAAAGGTTGAATTCTCAATTCTAAGGCCCCCACACTTCGACCAGACAAAGTATTTGGAATGATGTAAATCAAGGTGTAGTTTAGTGTTTAATTAAAAGCATGTAAAGTTTAATAATTATAGAGCATATGGAAGAAAAAAGATGGAGGGGAAAATAGGATTAGGATTTTCCATAATACTATGTTACAAGTTACAAGGTGTGGGCTCTCATTGACGGAATCCCCGATCTTCCCTCCAGTCTCATCACCGTCACCATTGAAATATAGAGAGTAGAGACACAATGAAATCAGAATTGTTCTCCTTCTCGCCTCTGCGCTCAAACTCCTCCTTCTCCTTCTCCTTCCAATCTATCACACAACAAATACTACCATATCTTTACATCATAACAATACATACATACATACACAGCGAGAGGGAGAGGGAGAAAGAAAGAGAGGGAGGGAGAAAGAGAGGGAGGAGTTAGCGCGAATGGGAATAATATCCGAAGATGCAGTTGTGATCAAGGAAGCAGAGGGATTAGGGGGTGAGACAATAATCACGATTAGTTGCCCTGACAAGACTGGCCTCGGATGCGACCTCTCCAGGGTCATCTTGTTAGGTGGCCTCAACATTGCCAGGGGAGGTACCCATTATTACCCACCAATGTTTTCTCTTTCTCCTAATGTCATGAATTTCCCTTTTTTCGTTTTATCCTTGTTTTCATTTCTAGTCTGATGAAGAGCATAATGTTGGTGAAATTGGGATTGTCTTGAATAAAACTGTGCATCTTAACATCTTTCTCCATTGATTGGACGTTTGGTAATTAGAAAAAAGTTTAAACTTTATTGGGAATTGAAGCACGTGGACCTGGGGTGTCGTAGAGATTCGAACCATGACTTTTGATCAGGCTCTGATACCAAATTAAATCATGTGCTCCATATCAACTAAAAGCCTAAGCTGATAGTTATTGTATCAACATTGGAAAAATTATTTGTATGCAATCTTTTACTTAGAAAAGTTTGGGTAATGGGAATCAATTTCATAATATCAGATCCCCATCAATGTCTCTGGCAACTAAATAGCTGAAATTAAAGTTAGGATTGTTATGCTGTCAATGAATCATGAGGCTTAGAATTACATGTTTTGTGAGACATTGATGTTTGGTGGGATCTCTTTATGTTTTTGTTTCTTAAGTGGACATTAGGATTTTGGGCTAATGGATTTGTTCTTGACTGTTTGGATAGCAGATATTCAAACTGATGTTAAATGGTGTTTCGTAGTTTTCTGGGTGACTGGGAAGCCAATAATAAGTTGGAATTTGCTGCGGCAAAGGCTTCTTCAAGTCTGCCCACTATGTACTCCGGCAGCATCTGGTATTTACTATTATCGACCTGAGGTTCAGGAGCCCAAGCCAATGGAGATCTTCTTGTTGAAGTTTGGGTGCTCTTATGGCTGGACGGGGCTCTTACATGGTAAGCTTTGTCCCGCAATTAAGTTCAAGTCGATATGGTTGAGTGTGAGTGTAATTTTCTATGATATGAAGTGATAATAGTTATTTATTTAAAACCGGTCATTGGTTTGGTTAGCCACTAGAAAACATTCTTCTTTGAAGGAATATTCTTGCCTAGACTTAAATATTCTTTGTTTGGACCATTTCCTTAGATGTTGCCAAAGCACTTTGTAAGTTGGAGCTCGGAATCAAAATAGTGAAAGAATATGCTGCACCAGGCGGGAAGCTAATGAACTTCTTCTATTTGTATGACACAAGGTTTGTTGTTGGCTTGTTTCCCTTTTACGAGTAGCTTTTATTCAAATGCAATCTATTGCTTGGAATTTACCATTTTTCTTCTTCGATGTTGCCTCCTCAATTGTTGCAGTTCCCCTTCTGTTTAAGTAAAAAAAGATTGTTGTTGGGAGATGTAAATGCCCGCGATGTGAACTAGGATTTTAGTTTTATACCGATGCTTTATGACTCCCGAACTTTGTTTCTTCACTAGGAGTTGTTAAGTAATCAAAATTTGCAGGTGACAAAAAAAAATCGTGTGAGACTAAGTTCTTTGATCTTGTTGGGGGGTTCAGTTTAAATAGTCTGCTTTATATTTCCCAGGAAACTTCTTCACACTGATATGAGACAAGAGGAAACGATTAACCGTTTGAAATCTGTGTTGGGGGACGCCATGATTAGCTCCGAGACTGAGCTGGCTCCTGCTGAAGTAACCGCGTGTTTACCAACTCCTCTTCCATCCCCGCTTACAGAAAGCACGTTTAGCTTCGAGATGTATGATGGTGAGTCGAGCGGGGTTGGGGTTCCTTCTGCAGACACTGTTTCTGTGTTGGTTGACAACAATCTCAGCCGCTCCCACACGTTGCTTCAAATATCGTGCCGGGATCAGAAAGGTCTCATCTATGATATCATGCGTACGCTCAAAGGTTACAACTACCAGGTTAGAGTGTTAGACAGACATTCTTTGTTATAATCCGTGGTTAATTTGGTCATACGAATAATTTATCAGATCGTTTTTAATCAGGTCTCTTACGGGCGATTCTTTACGAATGGAAAAGGATCTTGTGAGGTGGACCTATTTATAATGCAAGATAAGAAGAAGATACTTGACCCCGAGAAGCAAAACACTATGTGTGCTCGATTGCGCACAGAGCTTGCCTGTCCGCTCAGGGTGGACGTGTTTAGCAGGGATAATGCGACCGAGATCTTAGTAGCCAACCCAGTTGAATTGACTCGTAAAGGGCGCCCCCTCTTGTTCTATGACATCACCTTGGTTCTCAAGAGGCTTGACATCTACATCTCTTCGGTACCATTGCCCTACTCCTTCCTCTCTTGCCTACTCGTCTCAACAAAACACTTTTATGCTTTCTGTATAACTCGTGCAGTGTATTATAACAGTGACAGTCTAGTTCGATCTGTGTGTGATTTGTCTCGGTCTAGTCAATTACATGAGTTTCAAACTTCAATTTGGATGAATAATCCGTTTTATAACCAAAAACACTAACACTTTCCAATCTCATTTCCCAGGTGGAGACGGGCAGACATTGGGTTCACGACCGCGAGTGGGAAGTGTTCAGGATGGTGCTCGATGAATCAGACAGCTCCACCTTGCCAAGGGACAAGATCAAAGAATGTGTGAGGAACAAGTTGATGGGCTGGGACGCCTGGGAGCAACCTTAAAAACCGAGATAACCTTAAAAACTGAGGTAACCTTAAAAACCAAGGTCAGAATCCCGTCCACCCGCACCAACACCCACACCCAACATAGGATCATCCCCAAGTTTAGCATACAATTTCTTTAATCTCTCCTCCATTCCCTCTTCTCCTTGTACATTTCTCATTTTCCCACCATTAGCACTCCCTTCCTGGCTTCGGGCGATTAGTGACTGAACCCGCTATCGCGGATTTTGTACACGCTAAGCGTCTGCCCTGGCCTGCTGTTAGTGTGTTGCATCCTGCAAACGTCTGTAGCCATCTCTAGCTGGGCACAGAATATGTTCACAGATGTTATAATGTGTAAAGTCATCTATGAAAAGTGACTTTATACTTTATAGTTTGGCATTTGTTATCTTCAGAGTAATATAGCAGCTAGCAAGTATTGGAAATATCATTTCCTTTTACTAAAATGTAACTCATGTCAAATCATTGAATCATGTATCATGACTTGTATAAATGTGTTACATATCTAAGATCTTTATATTTATTGTTTACTTTTTATGACTGTGGGTTTTACAACTGCAATAGTTGAGTTAGGTTGAAATAACCACTTTGTTAATAATCAAGAAGAGTTAATTCCAGCAATAGTCCTCCGACTATTGCAATTTTCCAAAATTAGTCCTCGAGTTTTAATTTGGACAAAAAAGACACTTGACTTTTTAATTTGTTCCAGCAATGGTCCTTCTGTTATCCCTCCATCACTTAGCCGTTAGTTTTGAGGGTAAAATGGTCTTTTTGTCCAAATCCCTCGCATACCACTGGGTTCCATCAGGTAGATACTTCGTTGGAAAGAAGAGGCTGCAAAATCCTCGTTTCTTCCTCAATGAACCTCCTATACAGTTGCTGCTCGTGGTTATGCAACTCCATAAACAAATCCCTTAACTGCTGGGCGCATTTGTAAGCTTCAGTTCCAGAACGGACCACCTTTAGTTCAATATCAAGGTAAATGTATTCGTGTTTTTCCTAAGGAAGAAGCCACATGAAAAGCCTTAACAGCGAAAATCCAAATAAGTTTTGCACAATGGTATGAGAGGTGTTCAGTTACTAAGAAACCATGTCGATGCAGACAAATCATATTTCATCACATATTCACATAAACAATAAATGGTCTGGAACTTACCTGAATTTTGCGGACTACACTCCCGAGTGACGTCCGATGCATTCCATGCTTTGAAACACTTTCAATTACAACCCATGGTCTGCAAAAACAGTTGAACAAAAAGAAGATAATCACAGATATTCGGGATGACTATGATTCTATAAATGTGCAAGGGAATTTGGCATCTAAATGGTGGCATGATCAGCAAAGATTTAGAAGAAAGTAAGTAGTCCAGGTCTTGAAATCCTTCGTATTACAAAGGAATTCAAAACAACATTCGCACTAATTAAGACAGAAGTAGCCATTAGCTTTAACAATACCTTACAATTTTTTCAAAACATATACAATTCGAACTTTTTATTCAAATGATTAATATACAGAACCAAATTTCAACATCAAAATCTTTACAGGACGCAATTAACATTTAACAAATTTAGGCACATGTGCAACTACCATATACAAGACTATACGGCCAGTCTCACACACATGCCAACATATTTAGAAGCTTGTGGCTTAAAACAAATGGCAATGTTCAGGCACTAATGGTGGTACTGTAGTACAACAACACTTCAGTTTCTCCCAATTAGATTTGTCTATTCATTCAAACCACTCATTGTTCACTGGAGAGAGAGACAGAATGAGCGGCGGAGCTAAGAAAGCGGTGTGGATGGCGTGCATGGCTGCCGTGGAGGTGCTGAAGGACCAGGGCTTCGCGCGGTGGAATTATCCGATGAGGACGCTGCACCAGCACGCGAAGAGCAAGGTGGCAGCGTCCTACCAGGCCCGGAGATCCTCGTTGGCGCTACCGTCGTCGACGGTGGTGTCTGGGAAGGTGATGCGACTATGCGAGAAGCGAAGATGAGAAAAACTGAGAGGAATTTCAACAGAGTCATGGACGTTAGCTGCTTCGGTCCTAGTACTGTTAGATTCTAGTTCCCGGCCGGCGATCATACGCAGATTAATGTATGAACATACGATGAAATTTTTTCAGCTTCTCAACGGTATCATGCACACTGTCAGAATCTTCCTCTGCGACTTGAAGCCCGACAACGTTCTCGTCTTCCTTGGAAAGTACAACGGCGGGCACCACCTCAAGCTCTGCAACCTCGGGCTCGCCATGTTTCCCGGCGAGGAGAATGTTTACGGCGATTCCCATCGCTGGACGTTGCGGTACGCGTCGCCGAAGTCTTTAACCTGGAAATCGTACACTGAACAAATGATATCCGGGCGCTGGGCTGCATCTTCGTCCAGATGCTCACCGGGAAATCCATGTGGCAAGGCGGCAACAAACACGAAAATAGCGCTAACCAGCCCGGAAATACAAGACCATCTCTCCCCTGCGGCCAAGAATTTCTTGAAAATGTGTTTAGTGAGAGACCCACGACAAATATGGATTGCGGAGAAGCTAGGCAAGGGAGGAAGAAGAAAGTTAGTTAATAAAAAGACTATTTTGCCCCCTAAACAAACGGTTAAGTGACAGATAGATAACAGAAGGACCATTTATGGAATAAATTAGAAAGTCAAGTGTCTTTTTTGTCCAAATTAAAAGTCAAGGACTAATTTTGAAAAATCGCAATAGTCAGGGGACCTGGAATTAACTCTAATCAAGAATAATAAGCCAAGAAATATTTTATTGCTTTTAGAGAGCTATAAAATCGAACCCCGAGTACCCCTTTTTTAAAGGTTTTATACATGCTTACTCTACCAATAATTGAGCTAATAAATTCTCTTAATCATTCTGTACAAATCTAGGAGAGTAACCTTGACATTAAAGCTCCCATAAATAGTGATAAGGATTATACGTGCACGACCAGATGTATGCAAGACAAACCGATCTAAATCGAACAACGCTGAGCCCCTCAAACCTATTAGGTATACCCTTGAACTAAAGAAGTAGTCAAGTCACGTCCAATCATCTTTTTAATCTTCTCAAGACACTTGGCACATTCTCCCTAATGATATGCCAGAACCACGACATGTGTCCCAAATCCGTCTATATAAGGCGCATTTATTGCTCAAAGGAGGAGACTTTTGGCACTTTTTAACTACCCTAGACACTCTCGACCTAACTGCATCTATTACCGGCCTTTATCTCCCCAAGCCCAAAGAACTTGTCGTAGAACCACTAGATTGAAAGGACATTTCACAAACCATACACTATAGAATTAACCATATCAAATATGAGATGAACCCTAGCATTAACTCTATGACAAATAAGCCACGTTTATGTCTGTTTGACTGTTTGACTCTTTTTGTCCTATAGAGGCCGAGCACTTTGTAGTCAGAGTCTGGCCATATGTTATAGCTTGATTTGAGAATTTTTTAAAGTGTAAACAAAATAGGAAAGGTTTTGAGGAGTGGACAAAAAGAAGGAAAAATTACAATGAGAGTACCAAATTAAACCAAATTCAAGCACTAATCCAGCTACCCTAACCTATGAGATTATGGGACTGCAAATATCACTATCCTTAGTCTTCATCATCAACACTCAGCAAGATATATACACATTACACAAACACAAACTTTGACGAAAGAAATTTCAGAAGCTTTGACCATAGAAATTTCAGCAAAACAAAAAAATTCATCCTCTTCTGATTTTGCTTGCGTGCACGCCTTACGTCCCACATTACACCATTCCACACGTTTGGAATTCTGTCTTAAATAATTAAATATTCAGTGCATTCAAAAAAAAAAATTAAATATTCAGTATTTTTGATAAAACTAATCCAAATTCAGTTCACTCACTTGAGTTAAAATGCACAATTTTTTATTTTAATTATTGAATTAATTAAAAATGTAAAGTTAATTGCCTTAAAAATGAGGACATCTTTAATAGTATTGGGTTTTTTTTTTTTTTTTTTTTTTTTTTTTTTTGAGGTGTCAATTAAGAGGGAGAGGAGGACAAAAAAATGAAAAAAGAAAAAAGGAAAAAAAAGGCGAGCAACAATTTTATTATTTTTTTAAAAGAAAAACGAAAAAGCTTAAAATAAGCGCCTACTGGGCACGATCCTTGCGCTCCACGCGGCTTGAACTGCATTTGTTTCCCCTTTTCTCTGCCTTGGCGGGTTCCCCCAAAACTAAAAATTGCAAGAGAAAAAATAAAACCAACCCTTTAATTTTTTACTGTTTCAAAAATTCATGAAAAAACTCATATTACGGATGCTCTGATAAATTAGATGTTAAATAAAATTGATTTTAAAAACAACAAAATAATGGCGGCCCCTTGTCTCAATGTACGTGTGTCCGTTGATGGCAAAAATTATAGCTTACAAGGAGGCACTCACATAACTTAAAGGGAGGGAGGTGCATTCCGTTCAACTCCAATCAGATTGCACAAAGCTTTGCTACAATTTTACATCGATATCATCCACAGTCGAGTTGAGATCGTATATCAGCATTTCTACTTTGGATTGTTGGAATCTTATGGCTTCTTTTCTTTTATGTTCTATTAATTTTATTCCTTATTCGTCTAATAGTATGTTGGAATTTTTAGCTAAAAATGGCATTTTGAGTGATTATTTTGTGGTACAAATATATGTGGGATCTACTTCTGATTTGGGTCGGGTTAAAGTGGATTCGAGTTCTTCGTAGTGAGACGAAGAATTTGATATAATGTACGCTCAAAATGGATAATAGGTGAATGAGAAATTGATTCTCAAAGTGAACCTTTTGAGGGAAGTCAACAACTTAAACCTATTGTTTAGTGGCTAATTAGGATTAGCACTAATCTTGATGCTAATTACTTAGCATTCACGAAAGAATGCTTGTAATTAAGCTTTGGAAAAAGGTTAAGTTGCAATTAAGCTATTGAAAGCTTGATTAGTGAATTGGGAAATGAACTTTCGTGCTATGCTTTGTGCATGGACGAAAGTTGTGCATGAATTGAGCTTAAGCTTTGGATTCCAAAGTAGCTCATTTCGTGCTGTGGATTCGGAGTGCACGAATCAAATGCTATATGCATTGATTCGTGCTGCACCGTTTCGGTGCTTGCGGACCACTCGGGTGTGGTTTCCAGTTCCAATTCGTTAAACCTTCGGGTTTGTACGGACTTCTCAGTCACTCAGATATTTTGAAACGGATCGTTATGGTCGGTACGAATTAATCGTGTATTAAGTTCGTGACCGTTGATATTATTTCGATAATAAGTACGACCGTTTCAAACGTTATTATCCAATTATTAAATTTTGAATTTATGTTGGTTAATGGCCATGAATATGCTTTAATTCCCTTCTCCTACAAATAGCTTGGTGGTTGGCAGAATGTTTTGCTGCGAGCTTTGAATCAATCAAAATTCTTTTGTTTTCTCTCAACTCTCATCTAGTTTACAAAAGAAAAGAAATTCTGGCAAACATCTTCTGTAAAACATCGGAGTGCTCAGCTTGTGTTCTAGTTCGCCGGGCTTTGGGTTGGAGTGCTCGAATGCCAAAGTCGTAGTCCGTTTTATCCTGGGAGACTGACGCCACAACGATCCTAGCACCCTCGGGAGGTGGCGAATCGGTTTTAAGGAGAGTGTGTGTACACACGACTCGGGCTTCCTATACTTCTTCTTGTTTCTTCGCGTTGGGTTGAAACCTCAGATTAGAAACCCGTTCTTATTTTATTTTGTTCTTGGTTTTGGAACAAGTGGTGGGATTAATCTTAGAAAGATTAAATCCTTGTACTAGTTTCGTGCTAGTTGTGGTGGGATTAATTTCGTGAAAATTAAGTCCCGTGTACTAGTCTCGTACTAGTTGTGGTGGGATTATTTTGATAAAATAAATCCCAATTTGGTTAATATATATACGCTGTATATATATGTAATTTTGGTTTCGAACCAAAATTTGTTGGAATTAATTTTCTATAAATTAAATTCCATTTTTCGGGACAAATATATATTTTATATATATTTTGTGTATCCATTTATTCACCATTTTTCAACATAGTATTCTCAAGCTAGCTCTCTGTATTGAGATTCTAATTCTCCCGACTTTATCTCAGTTCTTCTTCCTCTTCTTCATAATATACCTTTGATATTTTTTTTTTTAAAAGACAAAAAAATAAAAATTATAGGGACTAGTCGCAGGAGTGGGGGTAATACCATCGTCATCGAACACAAAAATGTAGGCAGCCAACCACGTGGCGGCCTCCGGTGTCGCATGTGGATAGCAGATTCCCGTTCCGATTTCTTCTCCTTGGTGGACCCCACCGGTTTTCCAATCACAGAGGAGATTCCCGACGAATCTTCCATTTCCCCTGATCTTCGCACCCATATAAAGTTGTTGTACAGTTTACAGAGCTAACTGAAAGAGAAGAAGTTCAGATAATATGAGAGCTTTGAATTCGCAATTTGTTTTGATTAACGTTCAGAGCTCATGGAGCTCGGCTAAGCAAATACCCATCTCAGCTTTTGCATACCTGGACAGCTCTCGGGCTGGCTCCTCCGCATTCTCTGCGGAATTCCGTCGAAAATGTGGTGGGCGGAACAGGAACACAATCTCGTCGTCGATTCAGTCGCCGGAAATTAGGAGGCCGAGGGACCGGACCACCCGCGCGAATTGGTTGAAGTCGATTTCGACGAGCTCGCCGTCGACGTCGAGTTCTCCGGATGCGCCCGTCTCGGACATGGACTTGTTCCTTCAGATTGTGCCCTCGAGGATGAGAAATGAGCTCGTTAGGCATGAAGAAATCGGGGAGTTAATTGAGATAGTCATGGATTTGGGTAGGAAGCCGCTTGCACGGTTTCCGTCGGGAGATTGGGTGGTTTCGGATCAGCCTGTGAAGCTTGAGGATCTACGTCATGCCATCTCAAAGGTCATTTTTACACTAAAATATATGCAATTAGCAGCTAGTGCTTTCTTAAATGATTTTCTAATCAATAAAGCCCTGCAATTTGTTTGAGATCAACCAATCATGAAAATAATAACACGAAGATATTGCTTTTGAAGAAGCAACAAATCGAATTTCTTGCCCAAAAGGCGAAATTCCTTGCCCTACACCCTGGCTTGTGGAGACGTAAATTACGGTGACTTAGAACCCCATTAGATGGGAGACCGTGCCCATGCACACAAGAAGCTCACCATTGGGTGTAACTCTCACACTACAGTTGTCAGACTTAATCCTTAATCCTTACCTACAATTTACCACCAAGAACCAGCTGAGCTGCCCGTGCTGAATTTCTTGGTTATATTTCTGATGTATGCTTGATAGAGACTTTAGAGTAAAATAATAAGAAGTCTCTTGGTTATATTACATGGATACATGTTGATCATTCACACATATTAAATATACATATTATGGATGGATGCTTGTAAGTAATTTTCATACAGAGTTTACTTAAAAAATAGTTAACTCTTTAGGTTGGTGATTTCTCTGATGACAACCGTTCGGGTATTGACAACTCCCTGCATCGTATAAGTGCTATCCGTAACCGTAAATTGCAAATCATTGGCCTTACATGCCGAGTTGGTCGAGCTGTATCAGGAAGTGCTGAGATCATACGGGACTTGATTGAAGGAGGAGGTTCCATATTAGTTATAGGGCCTCCAGGAGTTGGCAAGACTACGTTAATCAGGCATGAATATTCTAATGGTTTGCTTTTTTCTATCTGTAATGCATTTCGTCACAGATTTCTGCAGCCTTATCATTTTACCTATTTTTCTAAACTGAGGGAATGAGGTACTAGCCTACGAATAGTAATTGATGGTGAGGCTCTATAAGTGCAGAGAAATAGCTCGGATGCTGGCAGATGACCAAAAGAAACGTGTTGTTATTGTTGACACATCGAATGAGATTGGGGGTGATGGAGATGTTCCTCATTGTGGAATTGGTCTTGCAAGAAGGATGCAGGTTCCAAATGTGAACATGCAGCACAATGTGAGTTGTGAACTTAGTATTTTGGCTTTTGCTTTGTGCAGCTTGAATCTGTACCAATCTTATTCTGCCGAATATTTATTCATCTGGTTATGTCCAAGCAGGTGATGATTGAGGCAGTTGAAAATCATATGCCTCAAGCTATTATAATTGACGAAATTGGAACGGAGCTTGAAGCATTGGCTGCCAGCACAATTGCTCAGAGAGGCGTGCAGCTTGTTGGAACTGCTCATGGAACCACTATTGAGAGCATTATAAAAAATCCCTCTTTACAGCTTCTTGTTGGTGGCATAGAGGTGCATGTCCTGTTTGTTTTGTTTTAACTTCGTCTCTGTTTATTTTTAACTGCAATAAGCCAATAACATGTGATATCAATACCATTGTTCCTGTTGTATTAACTTTTTTCTAATTTGGAAACAGAGTGTTACTCTTGGTGATGAAGAAGCAAGGAAAAGAAAAGTGCAGAAAACAATTCTTGAGAGAAAAGGACCGCCTACATTTACATGTGCTGTTGAAATGATATCAAGAACTGAGTGCCGTGTTCACCATAGATTAGATGCAACTGTGGATGCCATTCTTGCAGGTAAATTGGGTACTTATTGTCCTGTTGAAAATTTTCCCAGTTTATTCTTAAAGTTTTTCCAATGTGGGTTGTACTTCTCAAACTTATCGTGACCAGTGGCTTGATTCTTTTCTGGACCTAGGGAAATCTCCACTCTTTGAAATCCGCCAGGTGGAAGCTGAGTTGAATACGTCAATGAAGTCTTCTTCATCTACTCGTGAGGACCATGCTGATGTATCTAAGCTAACTACTGACCATAAAGTAGACAAAGAAGATAGCAGAATACTTGATACAGTTAATAAAGATTATTATCTGCACTTTGATAATGATAACAAAAATGTTAAATTTGAGTCTGATGATGAAGACGAAGATAATCCCAAGTCCAAGAAATCTGGTACAAATGGACCTCTTAGTAAGAGGACCTCCCCTCTGTATGTATACACTCACAAGGTAAATATTATGCACTTTTTGTACATTAATTTACAAGAACGGATATGATTCTACTTTTCTCATTCTCTGTGATTCATACTTTTGGGAATAAAGCGTAAGTAAATCTATGTGTTCTTTTTCTTCTTTGCATTTATTATTTGAATCTGCTGTTAGAAAATTGTAAGCTGTTGCTAATTATGGTTAGAGTTTTAATGGAAATTGAATCCATCTTTCCATGGCTGCTTTCAGATTCAAGAAGCTGATTTATTAGAAGTGACCACTGCTATGGGGCTTGAAGATGAAATAGACGCAACTGATGATATAGGTGCTGCAGATGCTATACTGGCTACTAGTACTGAAATGAAGCAGAATCCTTGGATCCGCAGTGTTGCCAAATTTCACCAAGTGCCTGTGTTTGTAATCAAGGTGCCTTTTCTTCCTCCTTCCTTCTATTACTTTTCTTTGTTTCCCATTATTCGTTGTGCATCTCTCTGGGAAAGTAGGATGGTGTTGCATTTCACAATTTCCTGCTTGTTGGTTAATTGCAGTCAAATACAATGGCACAAATGGTGAAGGCGGCCCGTATGATTCTTGGAATGGATTCATATAGCTCAAAACAACCACTCAAAAATGCCTTCGATATTGAAATTGAAGACGATGCACCAAAAAGAAAACCAACTCTGGAGGAGATTGATGCCTTGGAGGTGCACCTCTTTAACCTTTCAGCACATTATAATATTAAATTTGCATTCAACTTATCACCGCTTTAACTATTTCATTTGATTTTACACTTGGTGATATTAGAAATAACTGCTATTGGGGGCAATCCAGCCAAGTTGGTCGGGCTGTTGGCTTGGTAACCACAAGGTTCCAAGTTCGACTCCCTGTGGGAGTGGCCTATTAGCCTTCTTGGTTTGAACTGATCAACTATGGTCAACCTAGTCTGGTTCACCTCCTTGTGATCCTTTGCTGGCCAAGGTCACAAGGCGGTGTTTACATAGTGTACACCCTCAGGTAGTGGTTGCGAATTTCCTTCATCACTCAAAAAAAAAAAAAAAAAAGAAGAAGAAATAACTGCTATTTTAAACATGTTGAACCATTAGAAAACACTCAATCCAACAGTAGTTGCATACTGCCTTTCTCGCGTGATTGTAGAAACACAATATTAATTTTCTTTTTGGGGTGCAAAATGAAAGTAAAAAATGCAACAAGGTGATGATTGTGGATTGTGGAATTGATCAACCTCAAAGCAGCCATTTGCCTCAGTGTTTACATACTCAGTGTTCAAACCTGAAGCTAAAGTATTTGATGCTCCGGGGCTTGAATTAGCTTAGATTATAGCGACATATATAACATTATCCGTGCTCAAAGTCAGCTAGTTTAAATTGTGTCGTCACGTCACAGGAAGTTCGGCTTGCAATCGAGTACATAGTGATACCTGGTGGCGAGCCAGTGGAGCTCCTTCCAAGGCGTTCCGAGATAGTAGCCCAGCAAGTTAAGCTGGTAGAGAGCTACCAGTTGGCTGTAGAGAATTCAGGTACTGAACTCAACCCCAGGCTGCAAATCCTTCCTCAAAAACTAAACAAGGCTTCAGAGAAGCACTCTAAATCTCATTCAAGCCGGACTATAAGTTCCGGCATCTCATTCACTACCGGCACCGGAGGCGCTACCGTTGCTCGGCTGCCATTGTTACCGGAATAAGTCAAGTCTCTAATTGTGAGACAATTCCATATTCAATGACATGTTTGAAACAGTGTACAGTTGTATATGTAAATGTGTATGTCTCATGTAAACTTAACATTTATTTGATGATCAAGTGTAAATCATTCTCTTGTTGTTTTTTTTTTTTTTTTTTTTTTTTTTTTTTTTAATAATACCAGAATTAAAAGTATATAGTGTATATATAAAATGGTTAACTAGATACTGCATAACATTTGCCTTTCTGGAAAATTGAATTGCAATATACATTCTTAACTTCTTTATTTTTTTTAAATGCAGTTATGGTATGATATATTAATATTTTAATAATTATCTTTTTTTATAGTATTTTTAGTCTCCGTATTTCATTTACAAAATAGAAAACTCTTCAATTATGGTACATCATAATGATATGAGATGTTTAACTTTTTTACATCCTCTTCACTATTTTTAGTGAGTGTATAGTAAATTTATAGGGTATTGTTATTTTTGCCTAACAATATGTTAGCTACATAATCTCCCTATTTTCTATGGCTCTCTCTTTTTTGACATCTTACTTTTGATAATATAATGAAATATTATTTTATCACCTCTACACAAATATGTTAAAATTAAATTAGATAAAATAATAAATTTTAAATAATTTTTCTGAACGGCTTATTTTTGAGTAACAATTACAAACTTTTACATACATCAAACTTATGTAATGAAATAAATTAATATTGATAGATCATAGATATATTCAAGTAGATTAGTGGTAGGTAATGATGGTGGTGGATAATTGTAGTAATATAAATATATAATGGTTGTAGTAATAAAGGGAGAAATATGTTTAGTCAGTGTAGGGTGATATCGTCTGATATTTATTAGGTGTTTACACATTGGGGGGGGGGGTGGGGGGGTGGGGGATGGGGGGGCGATTTTAAAATATAGATTTTAATAAATTTTAAAGAATTTCTATAGAATCTTCTTTAGAATTATGTAGATTATGCAAGAGTTTATAAAACTTTTATATCATAAACATTTATAAATATTTAATTATTTTTTTAGATAAAATTTCACTTTTAATCCTCGACTATTATAATCTTGTCATATTTAGTTCTACTTTTTAAATTGTGCTACATTACATCTTTAATTTTTATTTATTTGCCACAATTGGTCATTTAGTCCTTTTAATTTTTATTTTTATTTTACCATTTAAAAATATTGTGAATATGTAATTTAATTATTCAATTAAAAAAATTTACAAGAAAGTGAGAGAAATTACATATTGGGGCAAGAAGTTTGAATGATAAAATTACATGTTAGTTGTATTTATTAAATGGTAAAATGATAATTTTTATACTGATGACTAATTGTGACAAAAAATAAAAGTTCCTGATGTAATGTGACAAAAAAAAAAAAAAAAAAAAAAGAAGACAAAATAACAATATCACAATAGTCCGATGACTAAAAATGATATTTTTCAGTTTTTTATTAATTCTAAAAAGTTATTAAAGCTCTCAAATGAATACGCCTTTACAAATTTTTATTAATATTTATTATTTATATTTTACTTTTCTTACAAATTTTTTTATGATATATCATATATTTTTATAGATCTTAAATAAATTTATGTATTGCAATAGGAAAAAATAAATAAATTTAGTTGTCGCAAAAATAATTTATTACCAATTTAAATAGAATATCAAATTTTAATAATAAATAATATAATGTTAAGAAAAAAATATATATACAATATTCTTCAAAACTAGAATACTCAAATGTGTAGCTGGGAAGGATAGGAGAACTCTATAAATTAGAGAGGAAAAGTCTACAAAAATTATAATATCAAAGAGCATATAAAATGTCCATGACTTGCTGAACACCAATAGAATTTTAAGCTTTTAAAATTTTTTAAAAGTATAAATCAAACCCAAATTAAATATGTTTAAAATTTTAAAATTCATAAAAATCTTGGTCGAATACACTTTATGGACCGGCTGCCCTACTTGAGTAGAACCAAATACACAACAAAATTGAAGTAGAATGTTGACACACAAACATCATATCAGTGTTGGGCAATAACCAATACTATTTATTCCATATGGGCATGGAACATGTTTTGGTGCTTTTTACGTTTTTCCTAAGTGCCCATTTTCTACTTAGTCTATATATAGTCTATACCTTTTATGATTATATATATGTTGTTTTCACTGTTTACTAAGTGGCCACATTTTAGTGATGGATATGATAATGCCATTTGCATTAAATTTATTCATCAAAATTGATCAAGTTAGTTTTTACATACCATGGATTAATTAAATGAGGATAATGTTATATTACTTATATGGACAAAAAAAAATTTTAACAACCACAATATGTATTTGATTAATAAGTAGATTAATTTTTTAAATTTAAGTAGAGTCCGCCTATTCATGGTAACCAATGGACAAAAATTAGTTTTTTTTTTTTTTTTTTTTTTTTTTTTTTTTTTTTGGGTTAGAACACGAGGTGTCCTGACCCTAACTGTAAGAGGTACTTTTAAGTCCGTACCATACTCAGACTAATAATTCTCGTTTGCATCGGGCCGGTCTAATTAAAGAGCAAAGTGTTAGTCAGATTGGTTTTTTCATACGAGAAGATATTCGAACTTCCGACCTTTCTTAAGGGACAAGAGTGCACGGTCATTCATGCCAACCAAACTTATTTATATTGGGTATATTTTTGTGATGTTCTTCACTTTTCACTGGGTGGTTGGTAGTTAGTACTTAGTTTATGATGACGTACGGGGACATAAATCACATAATGTAATAAAGTTGACGTCATAAGTGTTGCTATCATGGCTAGGAACCTAAAAGCTAAGGTTGCAAAGGAATCTATGCTATGGTCCAAGGATGAATTATACCCTAATCCATTGCACCTTACTTCAATTTTGGGTTTGAGTTTGTATTCATTTGGTAAAAGATGCAAATGTTTACTTGTAATAATATTCCACTATTTTCATATATTACGCTAGTATGCGATAGGGATATAATTAAAATGCAAAATTTAAACATATTGAAAAGGAATGGGTATAAGTTATTCTTAATTTATACTTTAAATTTTTTTTTACCAACTAGTTTATAATTATGAAATCTAACTAGATTATGGACATGTAAGATGTACACACTCATCTTTGAATTGTGACAATTAGAATACATACTATTTTAGGTCAATTTCGCTATAATTTTTATTTTTTTTAAAAAAATTACATGCAAAAATATCACAATTCCTTCTATTACTTAAGTGTCACTACTGGAAATTCTGAAATTTCCGACCACCTGAAAGTGATCTTAAATCAAGTTGAAAGTCTTGTTCCGACCACTTTTGGTATCCGAAAAAACCTTTGTTGCTATTTCCGACCACTTTTTGGACTTTTTGATATCAACTTAATTTAAGATCATTTTCAGGTGGTCGGAAATTTCAGAATTTCCAGTAGTGTGTTCATCACTCATTAATAAATGAACGAGTTTTAAGTACGCATAATCTTGACATCTTTAGTCCATAAACTCGCCAGTTATATTTAAAACTAATCATTATTTGCCATGTAATTTATTCCATACTAAACAATTGTTTTTTTGAGGAAATACTAAACAATTGTTACTTAATTTGTATTTCACAATATGTCTAGGATTGAAAGAGGGAGAGAGAGAATATTTTTATTCTTTTGTTAATTTAAATTTGTTTTCCAGCCGCCCACTTACATAAGAAATGCACAACAAAGTGACTTTTCTACTCGAATTGAGGGGAACCAAATGTGACCTTCTGCATGGAATAAAGGAATAATACATTTATATCATTTATTAGGTTACATATATGATAGGCATTTTTCAAGTGTGACCAGCTGATCTTGTAATATAAAACACTTTTTTTTTTAAATATTTACCGTCAATGATATCTAAAAATGCTCTTTGATTGAAGGACACAAGGAGGTAAACCAATTTAAATTGTTTATAGTTAATCGATTCAAACCAAAAATATCAATAAGCAACTCTTATAAATAGTCAAACTTGAGTCTTATGATTATCAAGCGAATTACCCAACCAACTTGGCTTGGAGTTGCACATATTAAACACTTTTTTTTTTATTTGGTACTTATACTCCTATTGTTGTTGTTATTAATATGTATTTACACCTTAGAGTTCCACCCACTACTTGATCAGTGATCACCATTTTCAGGACACAAAATACCATATTTGATAAGGGCATCCCCAATAAAAGTTTTGGGATGGTTTTTGACGATGCTAAAAATTGATGAAGTGATTTTTCACAAATGGGATGCTTGGTTTTTTTTTTTTTTTTTTTTCCTCCTGCAAAAAAACATTGAAGGCAGCACGCTTGGAGCGCATTGCACACCCCAGCGGGTGCTTCGGCCGCCAGCTGACGGCCACTCTGAACCCACAACCCTTTAAAAAAAAATCTGCCAATTTTTTTTTCCTTTTCTTTTTCTCTTTCATTTTTTTCTCTATCCTCTTATTAAGACTCTATTATCCATATTAGACTAGGACTATATTATCCATATTAGACTATGACTATATTATTCGTGTTAGACTAGGATTATATCTAGCATCTCTATATATTCGCTCCATGTACTCTCAGACATCATTATTGAATACAACACAATTATATTCCCATCTGGTATCAGTTAGCCAGGGTTTTCTTTTCCAACATCCATGTTCCTCACTTCGTAGCAGTAGCCGATGGCATCAAACCAAGATACATTGTATCAGAAGCGGTCCGGTCAACGACGTGACGTTGATGATCCGTGTCAAATTTGTAACGGTTTCGGCCACACGGGAGCTAATTGTGTTTGGCATTATGATGATCCGTGTCAAATTTGTGACCGTTTTGGTCACATGGGAGCCAATTGTTTTTGGCGCTATGATGATCCGTGTCAAATTTGTGACCGTTTTGGTCACACGGGAGCCAACTGTTTTCGGCGTTATTCAGGGGCTCAGGGTTTTCAGGCTAATGTGGCCGTCTCTGGTGATAATGGTGATTCCAACAGTCCTCATCAGTGGTTCCCTGACACTGGTGCTACAAATCATGCAATGCCTGATTCTTCTTTGATGACTTCTGTGACAAGTTATGATGGCCCGGAGACTCTGCGAGTCGGCAATGGTACAG